GGTGGCGGCCGCCTCTCCCCTCCCTGCCGCTCCGCGCCTTGCCTGCTCCTGCCCTTGCTCCGTGGCCGTGAGGCCCCTTCAGCGGGGCGGCTGCGCCCAGTTTTGGCTGTCGCGCAGCGCAGCATCAGCGTGCGAGCGGCTGCAGGCAGTTTCCCTTCTCCGGTCCTTCAAACCCGCCCTGGCCCTCTGAGCCGCCTCGCTTGCGGTGCCGCAGGGGTCGGCCCCGGTCCCCTCAGAGCGGTGCCTTAAAACTCATCGGAAAATGAGAAGTGCCTGCCTTGTTTTTAATCCAAGTCTTGCCCTTAATTTGCCGTAGAGATTCAGCAGACTTTGCTTGCTCACGGTAATGACCTGCTGCTGCTCAAATTTCTTTGTACTGGCATATGGGCCTCCCTCCTTTTGTGCGAGCTGGAATTTTCAGTCCTTGTCGTTTTGCTCGCCTTTAAAAATTTATTACTGGAGATGGGGATTTTTATATAGAGAAGCTAAGGCAAGGAGTCATGTTTCATTACTGCCTCTCATTAACTCCCCTTAACAGTATCAGAATTAATAGACTAAATGTTTTTGTACGTCTCTCATTTTAAGATTCCTTTTTGTCTAATGCTCCCCTAAACTCTTCTGGGTGTCTGAAGTTACATACCAGTCTACTCTTTATTAAATAATCGATGCTGGTATTTTTTACTGCCGAGTATGGAAATAAATTACCTGATAAAAAAAGATGCTGGTTTCTGCTGTAGCAAAGCATGGAAACAGCCCTTCATTTTTCATTCTAGTGATGTGATGGATACTATAGGGTTTTAGTTGTGTTCAGATATGTCCCAGTAAATACAATAAGTGATATTATTTTATATTTTTTACTGGGGGAAGAGTAATTTAGCTGGCTAAAGTTTCATACCAAGTGTATCAACAGAGCAAGAAGAGATGGCCTATTGTAAGTTGGGAGTCTCGCATGTTTTTTTAATGAAATAAATAAATAAGGCCTGTTTCTTACTGCAACCTCAAAATAAAATGTAATAACAAGTATGAAAACCTCAGCCATTTCTGTAGCTGTCTTTTACAATCTGTCTGCTCCACTAAAAACACTCAGAGTAAATATGCCAAGTTTTTGTATTTATCAACTATGCTGCTTGCTGCTAATGTTTTTTTGTTGCAGTTGGTAGATTAAAACCTCTTATTAATTACAACTTCTTGATTAGCAACCCAAAGTTGGAAAAAAAAATACACTAATTATGGGTTTCTTCCTGCTTTGGGTGTAGATTGGGTATTTGACTCTTGCTCTGCCTTGTCAGGGCTGTAACAGGGAGATAAAGGGATAATCTTGCAAACCATGTATTTTTGATAGCCAGAGTTAGGCATAAAATAAACATTAGTTTAAAATGCAACTTGAAATGCTGAGTAGAAATTAGAAGACCCTTCGCTCTGATCAGCCCTGTTGTCCTTACTTAACATGCACATTTTAGTTGTATATGTGTTCTGATATCCACATAATTGAAGTCTAAATAGTGAAATGTTTCACTCTGCTTGAATGGTCAACTGTAAAAGTAAATGTAATTGGGGGGATTGCTCTTGAATATAGTGCTAGACTTTCCAATAAAGGGGTACCCTTAAAGGGAGTACTGATGTCAGTACTAACTGTACTGGGTAAGTCTTACCACACAGCAGAATATGATAGTTGTCCCATCCTTGGAAATATTCTAGGGTGAAAGCCTAGAAAACTGCTACTAAACAAGGACCGGGTTAGTGTTTTCAAGGGAGTTGTCAGACAATGCTAAAGATACAGGAAATTCTCTGCTGGAATGCTGCTCTGCATTAAGAGAAATCAAGTCTGGTTTACATCAGTGCAATATTTGTTAGTATCTCCCAGAGTACTTCTTTAACTGATATTTAAAACCACAAGAGCAAATGATAATCAGTGCAATATACACAAAATACCTCTACTTTTTCTTAAATTGTTAAAACTAAGCTCCTTAAAAAGTAATAATAAGCAAAGAATAAGACCGAAAATATGGAAGTAGTTTGCAGTCATGATTCATTTGGCAGTTTTCAACCAATTTTAGTTTTCTGCAGCTAGCTTTTCACCAGTGATGCTTATGGAGCATGAATTACTGAAAAGATGAGCTGTACTGTATCCTGCTTTGGTCGTGGAAAAGATGTCTAGTCAGTGTGATGGCACAGTTGTTACTGTGGACAGTGGTTTTATTTTTCTTAAAATCTTATTTTGACAACAGTGGCCATAAGCCGTCACAGTTCTTAAATAGGATTGGCCCTAGCTGTCATACAGAGTGATTTGCTTACTGACAATGAACAAGGGCACCATATTAGTAATGTCCCCTTCCAAAATATTCAAATGAGTTTTCATAGTATAGGACGTGCTTGATACAAAATGTAACAGTAAAAGTAACATCTAGGATCCTGGGGAGCTGCTGAATGAAAAGCTCATCCCCTGTCTTTGATGAAAGGAATTTCTGTCACTCCAAGAGTATGGTTGTGCTTGAGGATTTTCCTCAGTTGGCAGGCAGAGTCCAGGCTAGGAACTGTGGTTCTGGTTTTGCTTTCACTCTCCTTTAAGGGTGCATTTTCACAGACACCTTTCAGCAACCATGAGCCTGCACAGTTGTCAAGAAATTGTGCCCTGCTTCCAACAAACAGTGCTTTTCTGCCTCAGAGGAGCCTCTATATCAGAGTGGATTTGGCTGAGAACTGATCTCTTGGGGTCAAAGGGGTCTGTAAGGTGCACAGTTAGTTGTTGCAGAAGAAAAATAGCAGCTTTACATCAGTTTAAGTTGATGGAGGAGCTCTACTCTTAAACCTTTTAAGGTGAGACTGGGATTTTTTTACAGTCAGAACCTCTGTTATTACTTCCAAGCTTGTGAACCCTTTTTTTACTGTATGCTGCTGTGTTATATCTTTGTGTATGTGTATATCCAGCATTGAGCAGCGTTTTCGTGGGGTGTTGCTTTAGGCTTTCCAGTCATGTTCCAAGAGCTCTTTGCAAAGAATTTAACAAAGATGATCATAGTCCAATCCAAATAGTCTTGGAGATGTGTATTAAAAACACAATTGTGCTGTATTTTGGAAATGATGGTAAGGTTTTTCTGATGAGGAAGGTGAGTAGAATTGCTCTTCTCTGGAAGAAAGGTGAGAAATTAAGTAGGAGTGGAATTGAAACACTTTAGTCTTCACATGACTAGCAATCTTCCTTTTTTTTTTTTTTATTTTAACCAATATGCTTTTGATGGAAGGATGTTAACTGTTCTTTCTTTCTTTCTTTCTTCCTTTTTAGCTTGGTTTTACTCTTGGCAATGTGGTTGGGATGTATCTGGCTCAGAACTATGATGTGAGTATCCTTGTAGTCTCAGAGTTAAACCTATTCTGAACTGAAAATATAACGAAAATAGAACTAAATCAGTTGTTACTTTGACACTTTATTGTATTTAAACACAATGCAGATCGTACTGACTTTTGTTACAGATGAACTCAAATGTAAATGGAACCAAAACATCTACATCTTTGATATCTGCTCTGTGATGGAGTAATGCTTAGAGCCTTGACTGGTGTTGGGGCCCTAGAGTACATGTATGGTAAACAGGCATCTATACAGATAGAGTTAGGAGAAACAGAAAAGGTTTAGCAGTTGCTCATGGATTGTACTGGTGCTGAAATACTAGTTTCCTGACTCAAATAGTTTGTCTGCTTACAGTGTCTCCACTTAGTACACCTGCTTACTGCTTAAAAATCCTTCAGAGCATCTGAAATTTCTGTTTTCTGTACCAGTAATGAAAATAAGTTTTGCCAGCTTTTTTTTGAAAATTCAGCACGTGCTTCTACTTTAAATAATATATTGACCTGCAGTCTTCTTTCCTTCCTTTCTAACAATGAGAAAAGAAAGAATATTAACTTTCTTTCCTCAGTTCTCACAGTGAACAGAGACTTTTCCCTGTGAGAGTTAGAGTAGAAGAAGATTTAGAGTTGAGTCTTCAATACTTCAATATCAGGAATGAGACACTGCTGGACTTGCTACTCACAAACCAAGAAAACCCTTTGTAATTTCTCAGTTAGGGATAGCTTTGGCTGCAGTGATCACAGTATTGTGGAGTCTGAGATCCTGCTGAACATGCAGGAGTGTTCAACAGTGGGAGTACTAACCGAACTTAGTACTTTGAGTACTAACGCACTAAGACAATGGTTTTAGATTTTAGAAGAGCAGGCTTTAGCTCACTCAGAGCTCAGTTGGGAAGGGATCCCTGGGAAGCTTCCATGGAGGATAAAGGAGCTAGTAAGTGCTGGGAGCTCTTTTCAAGAATATTCTGGAAGCACAAAATCAGTTCATCCCCTTTAAAGGTAAGGGAAGTCAGTGAAGCAAGAGACTCCCTTGGCTTAACTGTGAGCTTCTGAGTGTGCTCAAAACCAGAAGAGAAGTGTACCAGAGATGGAAAAGCAGATGAACACCTGTTGAGAACTACAGGGGCATTGCCAGGGCGTACAGAGATGCAGTTAGAAAACCAAAAGCTCAGCTCAAACTGAAATTGGCCAGAGATGTCAAAAACTACAAGAAATGGTTCTTTAGGTATGTAAACAACAAGCAGAAATAAAAGGAAAATATTGGCTCACTGTTAAACAGGAGAGGTGAATTAGTCACCAACAGTGCTGAAAAGGCAGAGGTTCTCAGCATTTTTTTCACCTCTGTCTTTACCTGCACTGTTAGGCCCCAGGCCTTGGGAACAAAAATCTAGTTTGATACAAACACAGACCCACTGTCACTAAAGGAAGAGTTGATATGCAGACTGTTACAGAAGTGTGACCCCTACAGCTTGGTGGGTCCAGACATCCACCCAATGGTCTTAAGAGAGCTGTCTGATGTTGTCGTAAGGCTGCTCTCCATAATCTTTGAGAAGTGATGGAGGTTAGGGGATGTCCCAGAAGGCTGGAAGAATGCTGATGTCACCCCCATCTACAAGACGGGCTTAAAGGTGGATTGAGGAAATTACAGACTCATCAGTCTTACTTCATTCCCTGGGAAAGTTATAGAACGAATCCTCCTGGGGGCTATTACAAGTCAAATGAATCATGCGATTGGGAAAAGCCAGCATGGATTCACCAAGGGCAAATCATGCTTGACAAACCTGATTGCCTTCTCCGACAAAGTAATCTGCTTGGTTGATGTGGGGTGAGCAGTGGACGTTGTCTACCTGGATTTCTTGAAGGCTTTTAATGCAGTTCCCCAAAGCCTCCTCCTAGAGAAAGTGGTGTGTTACAGTCTAGACAAGTGGTCTGTGCTGGGCATGGGGAACTGGCTGTCAGGGTGCACCCAGAGGGTGATGGTAAATAGCTCCTTTTCAAACTGGCAACCTGTCACAAGTGGGGTCCCCCAGGGATCGATAGTAGGCCCAGTGCTGTTTAATATCTTCGTAAGTGATCTGAATGATGGGTTCAGGTGTACCCTAATGAAGTTTGCTCATGATACCAAACTGAGCAGGTCAGTGGACACTCCGGAAGGGAGAGTTACCCTGCAGGAAGACCTGGATACGCTGGAAGAGTGGGCTCCAAAGAACGGTATGAATTTCAGCAAGGACAAGCGTAAGGTCTAGCACCTAGGAAAACATAATCCAGGAGCGCAGCAGAGGCTGGTATCTTACCTGGATGGGGAGCAGCTCTGTGGAAAGGGACCTGGGGGTCCTGCTGGACAACAGGCTCAATATGAGTGAACAGTGAGCTGCAGCATCAAAGAAAACCAACAGGATGCTGGGTTGCATCAACAAAGGCATCACCAGCAGAGATAAATAAGTCATTATCCCATTCTACTCATCAGTTGTCAGACCACACCTGGAATAGTGTGTTCAGTTTTGGTCCCCACTATGCAAAAAAGATATGGCCAGGATGGAGAGGGTTCAGAGGAGGGCTGCAAAGATGATCAGGGGACTGGGAAGCCTGTTGTTTGAAGAAAGGCTGAGATAACTAGATCTGTTCAGCCTTGAGAAGAGAAGGCTTCGGGGACACCTTGTCACCATGTTCAAGTATTTAAAGGGTGACTACAAAGAAGATGGAGATTCACTTTTTACAAGGAGTCACTTTGAAAAGATGAGGGGTAATGGGCACAAGTTACTCCTGAAGAGATTCTGATTGGACACAAGTGGAAAAATTTTCACAATGAGAACAATTGGCCACTGGAATAATCTCCCCATGGAAGTGGGTTCCCCAACGCTGGACCCTTTTAATGTTTGACTGGACAGGGTGCTGGGCCGTCTTGTCTAGACAGTGCTTTTGCCAGAAAGGTTGGACCCGATGATCCTTGAGATCCCTTCCAACCTGGTATTCTATGATTCGGTGATTCAATACAAGCTTTTAATTTCTGCAGTCAGCCACTTAGCTGTTTACAGGCTAGAGGAGTTAATGAAATTTGACATGACTTTCTTATGCAATCTATATTAGCCTAGTTTTGAAAAATAAGCTGTTGAGGTTCAAATCTCTGATGATATTTACATTTTGCTTTCCTCTCATCTTTAGTATTGAAGTCATCTTGCTTGCAGAATTTATTTTTTGCTCCTTGCTCATGCGCAGACTTTTGTGATGCTTCCTGTCTAGTCACTCCAGTAAGAATACTAATAAAAGGATGCTTTTTCTTTCCAATACATGTTTTATAGTGTTATGAAAATGTAGTCATAAAAACATATTTGGGTGTATGTATTGTAAGCATAGTGTAGTGCTCTTCTGGCAGCACTAATAAAGTACTGCCACAAGAGGGAGACTTAGGCTTTTGATATGCAGGAAATGGTTCCCTGGGAATGTAACACTGACTTGCAGGATGAACATGGTAGTTTTATCACTGGTATCAAAGATGATTGGTTTAAATGACATCTAAGGTAAACTTGTTATGATGTGGCCCTAATTTTGCGGCTGTACACTCATGTGGAGGATTCTGCTGACAGCGGTGGAGTTCTCTTGGTTTACTTCAAATTACAGGCTGGGCTCTTGCCTTCCCTTTCAAAGTTAAGCTGTTCAAGCAAAAGAAATTAAGAGCAAAATTTATGATACTACCTGTACTATCAACCTAAAACCATCCAGTGAGATTTGAGCAGTCTGTCTGGATTAACTTCCCTTCTGCTCTGTGGTTAGGTTACATATGAAGTAAAAGCCCATGATTTTTTTCACAACTACCAGTGGGAACTTTGCTTTACTTTCATTTTAATCAGTTAGCTTGGTAAAATCCTGTGTTGTCAATTCCCAGTTTTATCTAGTCATGAGATAATCCATTCCCTGCCACTAAAATCTGTTGCTTTTTTTTTTAAAAAAAAAAAAAAAAAAAGCAACATTTACAGTTGGATTGCTTTATTAAAATGCTTTTATTTGCAAGAAAAAGCTGAACTTTTGAAGTTCATAAGCAATAAATCGAATTTTCATTCAGATGTGACACTGCAACAGGTTACCAATTCGCAATGCAGTAGAATCCTCTAATGGGGAATTTTCGTTCCCAAAAACTGGACCAGAACTATTTCTTCGTAAATTTCTTGAGAACATATTTGATGCTTGTGCACATCTCTTTTGTCTTGGTTTGTGATCAATATAATGCAGTCTCATTTCACCTCTGAAAGTTAGTATTAAACTCTGTCCATCAGTGCTTAAATCGGCTTATTCTTGGTAGTCTGTCCTCTTTCATTTGAGGAAGCCAGACTGGTCTTACTATATTTCCTGTGAAGTGATCTTTTTTACTCCCTCCTGTTTCCATCACCAGTGGATGCCTTTTCAGTCTTAAAAATCTAAAATATTTCCTGAAGCTTCATGTGAGGTGCTTTCATCTGCCATGTGCTTGATTTTGCTTTGTTTTTAACCTCTGTGCAAGGTAACAGATCCTGGAAGCAAATATCTTTTAGAAACCAGTTTAAACTGCATAGAATTTCTTGCTGTATTTATAGCATTGTGTTTCCTGCTGAGGCTCATGTAGTTCAGGATTTTTTGTTAATTTATGTGGGTTTTGATTGGGTTTTGGTTTTGTCTTTAAAGATTCCTAACATTGCAAAGAAGCTTGAAGATTTTAAGAAGGATGTGGAAGCGAAGAAGAAACCTCCCAGTGACAAATCCTAAGAGAGCGATGTTACCCAGATCACCTCTGTGCATGCATCAAGGATGCAATTTACCTTTCAGAGAAGAAAGATCAAGTAGAGAGTTGGCGTGGAAGGTTTCTCTACTTTCAGTCTCCTAGAACTGGAATGTCCTTTTGAAAGAGCAGTTGTGAACTTTTCCTGGGCCTGATTTTCAAGAGTTTCAGAATTTGGACTTGCAGCTGATATGTGACTGGATAAGATAATTTGTATTTTTCATTATGCTTTTCCTAATATTTTGTAACCCATTTTTACCTGATCCTGTTAGTCCTGTTACTGTGCGTACCTCATACTTTATAATACCCTGGTTCTTAGAATATCACAAAAGAAATTAAATGCATCAAGAAGTAACTTCCAGGGTTTCTTGTCATTTGTTGTGAGCAGCGGTACTTCATTGTCCTTAAGATTCTCATTCCATTATTGGAGATAGGAAAGTTCATTTATCAAACTAGGAACCTGAGTGGGAGAGGAGAGCCCTTGCTTTTTCCATTACATTAAATGATCACCTCCAGCAGTGTAGACTTTGCACAAACATGGCTGATATCAAAAAGTATAAGAGGCTGTCATCCTTAACCTATGTTTCAAATTCATTGTTTCTTCTATTATTGTCTCTTCCTCTTCTTTCCCTTCTGCTTGATTACTTGATGATGTCTCTAGAGCAATGAGGAGGATGGGAGAGAGAAGAGTTATCTTCCATAAGTGGTAGTTGGGGCATATGGAGGTCAGCAGTTACATTGTGAATCCAAACCATTCATTTTATGTACTTAATGGTCCAGTTTGTGTAGTTCTAAGTATGCTTTTTTTAACTGCCTCTTGGTGTGCAACAAGGACTAGAGCTCAGTATTTCTATCAAATATGTCTGGTATTCCTGTTACTTCCTCATTCCTCTGCATGGTCTTCAGCCCACTGCCTTTACATTTGGTTCAGTTGTCTACTATGTATTTTCTTAGGATTAGAACCATTTATCTGCTGTCCCCCTTACTGTTTGTTTGGTCTACTCTTCTTCACCCGTTGCTGTCACTAAAAACCCTGGTGTGTGAGAAAATACACATTGTATTGTATCACTGTCCTTTTCTGTTTGAACAGAAAGCAAAGTCTGCATTTGGAAACCAGTCTGTTGTAAATTCTTTTGTAAATTCTGAAGAAAGTATTGCCATAATTTGAATAGATGTAACTTTTATTAATTCAACAATATCAAATAAATTTTTTTTTTTTTCTGTAAAATATGAGGGACCCATCAACTCTCTAAGGTGGCTTAAATCATTGAGTCTTCTTGACAGTCTTTTTCAGAATGTAAGGGACAAAGAAAAGTACCAAAAAGATACTCTCCTTGCTTTTATTAGCAATGCCTGCTGACGGACTGCTATGGACAAGTAGGAGGAACAAGCACAGAGAATGACCTCCTCTATTCCTTCAGGCCCTTGATTAAAGCATACTGTGGTGGGCTGACCCTGGCTGGATGGTAGGTGCCCACTAGGGGTGCTCTACCACTGCCCCTGGGTAGGGGAGAGAAGATACAACAAAAGGCTCAGGGGTCAAGATAAGGACAGGGAGAGATCATTCACCAGTTACTGTCACAGGCAAAACACTTTACTTGGGGAAAAGTTAGTGTTTTATTTATTACCAATCAAATCAGAGTAGGATAATGAAAAATAAAACCAAATCCTAGAAACACCTTCCCATCCACCCCTCCCTTGTTCCCTGGCTTAACTTTACTCCTGATTTTCTCTACCTCCTCCCATCCCAGTGGCACAGGGAATTGGGGGTTGGTTGTGGTCAGTTTATCACACATTGTTTCTGCTGCTCCTTCCTCCTTTGGGGGAGGACTCCTCACACTCTTCACCTGCTCCAGTGTGGGGTCCCTCCCACAGGAGACAGTTCTCCACAAACTTCTCCATGAGTCCTTTCCATGGGCTGCAGTCCTTCAGGAACAGACAGCTCCAGTGTGGGTTCCCCACAGGGTCACAAGTCCTGCCAGCAAAGTTGCTCCAGCGTGGGCTCCTCAGTCCACGGGTCCTGCCAGGAGCCTGCTCCAGCACGGGCTTCCCACAGGGTCATAGCCTCCTTTGGGCACCCATCTGCTCTGGTGTGGGGTCTCCATGGGCTGCAGGTGGAGATCTGCTCCACCGTTACCCTCCATGGGTGCAGGGCACAGCTGCCTTACCATGGGCTGCACCACGGGCTGCAGGGGAATCTCTGCTTCAGTGCCTGGAGCATCTCCTCCCCCTCCTTCACTGACCTTGGTGTCTGCAGGGTTGTTCCTCTCACACACTCTCCTCTCTTTGGCTGCAGGTGCAGTTTTTTTTTCTCCCTTCTTAAATATGTTATCCCAGAGGCACTATCACCATTGCTGATAGGCTCAGCGTTGGCCAGCAACGGGTCCACCCTGAAGCCGGCTGGCATTGGCTCTATTAGACGTAGGGGAACCTTCTAGCAGCTTCTCACAGAAGCCACCCCTGTAATGCCCCTGTTACTAAAACCTTGCCACACAAACCCAATATACATATCTAGAGTGTTTCTCCATTAGTATTTTAGTTAGAGTAACGATTGTGCCTTCAAAGCAAATTGTCCTTATACCATGTTTTCATTCTCATCATGGGAAAGCTAGAGCACATGGGCTGGATTCCTTTCAGAAGAAGCTAAACCAGAAGATGTCTTTTGATATCTAGTGGGTATTTAGTCCATTAGACAGGCCTAGAGACATTCAGAGGGAAAATATCCCAAGTGTTAGGCACTAACTATTTTGCTCTGTAGATCCAGTGGACTGTGCTGTTGAGGTAAACATAGCATGAAAGCTTTTATGTACAGGACTCCCCACGTAACCATTGTTGTTTTCACCGTCTACCACAAAGCTGTTATTTCAGATACATGTGGGTGGATTCCAAACTCAGGAGTTTTCAGTGAATCGGCAAAGATATATTTACAGAATACCTTATGCCAAACTTTTGCTTCCTTTTCTAAAGTTTGGTGATGACAAGAGTTCTTCCACAATGCAGTCCTGAAGTTGAGGAAGGGATTTCTAATCTAAAGATTCTCCTTAAAGAATATAAATATATATTTTTATATATATATATATATATATATATTTATAAATATATGAGAAATATTTCACCTGTCGTTCCACATCCTTCCTTTTACCATCTGTCCTGAAATGTGTAGCTGACATAAAAGCTTTCAGTTGTTGCTAATGAATATTTGTCAAGTTTAAAAGCTACCTTAAGTCAGACAATCTTAGTAGCTATGTTACCAACTCACTCTAAAGTAAACACTCTAAAAAACTCAGGGAGAAATTATTTTTACCACATAACATTAGTTATTAGAAACCTTGTGGTAGCCATATGTGTTGATTCCGGTATGTCCTTGGTGAAGGGAATTCACAAATTACAGCTATGTTTACGATTATTGAAGTAGTGGTGTATGCTCTGGTCTTTGTAGGGGTTTTGCATTAGCTTTTATAGACTTAAGACCAAACTGAAGGAACTGTCTTCCACTCGCAAAAACTTCTTCATAGAGTGAGACAGCACTGCACAGATGTCTTATTGCTTTCATGAATGTGATGAACTTAGTTTCCCCCAGCTTCCTTCTCCCCCCTCCTCCTGCTCTTTCTTTCCTATTCTTGAGCAGAGTTTTGAAAAATACTGGCTCTAACCCATTCATATTTCTTTGCTTGTCATGTAAAATTATGTTAGTGTTTAAAATAGGATTTCTTTTCTCAAACATGCTTTATGTTCTTCCTTTTCTTTACATGGAGATGAGAAAGGAAATAATATCCAAAATCTCTTTTATTTGTTGCCAAACAGGCCTGTGTTACTCTAGAAGTGTAATTTGGAGCTGAAACTTTCAGCTGAGCATTCCAAGCAGATGTTTGGATATCTTTTTTTCATATCAGATTAGGAAGTGAACCAGCTACAGCTGTAGTGCTGGAGAGACAATTTATGTTCGTTAGTATTAAAGACAGGACTTCTTAAGTGTTTCACACTGTTTGCCACACTTTACATTTTAGCTCAAGCTGTCTTTTTTGTCCTACATAGTAAGCTGGAGAGCTGGATAATATTATAACACAGTTCTTGTCAGCTTTGCAACTACTGTATAACACATTTTACTTAACTGATTCAGCCTGAGGCTATCCTAGATGATACTAAAGGTTAACCTTATATTTCAGAAGGCAGAGAGTACACACAGATAGTGACAGCTTGATGCAGGTCTTGCATCTGAGGGCTCAGAGGGCTTTGGTGTCATAGCAGGTGGTATCATAGCAGGTCACAGGATGAATGCACTTTCAAGATAACTAGGAGCAAGTTTCCCATTTAACATGGGTACTGTGAATTTCTACACATTCAAAATGCCTATGTGGATAGCTGGAATTGCTAGCTAAAATATGCAGTCTTTCTTCCTTTGCTAGTTGTATTCAAATAGTTGTATTCATTTTCATGTATTGTTTCTTTTGAGACGTGACCTAGTAGCTGAAGGTTCGAGGCAAAGGGGGAGAAAAGGAAAATATGAGCTACTAACAGACTTCTAAAATATTTACTGTGGATTGCGACTGTTATTTTGTGATGGAAAATGCTGCCCTAAGGCTCTGGAGACCATCTTCCATTGTATACAGTAAGGGGTTAATACTGAAATATACAAAATGCCAGATAGCAAAGGTAATTATTAGCTTATTGGGCACCAGAGCTCAAATAAAGACAGTGGATTTACCTCACAGAACTTCACTCAATGAATGTTCAGTGGTGCAATTTTATGTCACAGAACCACAGTCCCTTGTCTCATGGTGTGTGCTCCATCCCTCAATCTTGGCCCTTGCGCAGGACTCACTCCAGTATGCCCAGTATGCCCTCTTGTACTGGGGAGCCCAGAACTGGACATAGCTGTCCAGATGTATTTCACCAGGGCTAAGAAGAGGGGAAGGATCACCTCATCCCTCAACCTGTGAAGGATGCTCTGCCTAATGCAGCTCAGAGTGCTACTGGGTTTCTTTGCCTCAGGGACACATTGCTGTCTCATGTTCAGCTTGCCTACCAGGACCCTCAGGTCCTTTTCTGCAAAGCTGCTTTCCAGCTAGTTGGCTCCAGCTTGTACTGGTGTGTGGGATTCTTCCTCCCCAAATACAGGACTTTGCATTTCTGTTTGTTGAACTTCATGACATTCATGTTGGTCCATTTCTCTGTTCTATGAAGGTCCACCACTAGACACTGTCCTGCAGCTGGACTTTGTGATGCTGACCACAACCCTTTAAGCCCAGCACTTCGTTCAGTTTTCAATCCACCTTACCATCCTCAATTTGTCTGTGAGGTTGTTGGGGAAGACCATGTCAAAAGCCTTGCCAAACAACATCAGTTGGTCTCCCCTCACCCACCAAGCTAGTACTTTTGTTGCACAAGTGCCAGGCTGGTCAGGCATCATTTCCCCTTCATAATTTCCTGCTGATTACTCCCAATCACTTTCTTGTCCTTCATATGTTTGGAAACAGCTTCCAGAAGGATTTGCTCCTTTACCTTCCCAAGGACTGAAGTGTGACTGACCAGCCTGTAGTTCCCCAAATCTTCCTCCTTGAAGATAGGAGTGGCATTTGCTTTCTTCCAGTCCTCAGGGGCCGCCCTGGATCACCGTAACCTTTCAAAGACAATAGAGAGTGGCCTCACAATGACATAGGCCAGCTCCCTCAGCATTTCTTTAGATTTCTGTTTTCAGCTGGTGTGCCTATAGAGGCCCTTCTTATTACAAAATTTGGAGCCAGGGGTGATTCCAGTGCAGTCAGTGTCCTCACCAGAGGGGCACAGCCCCACAGGTGTGTACACAGCAGGCAGCACCAGTGACTGGTAGAAGGGTCCGTTGTCAGCCCCAAGCACAGCAAGGGGGTTAACCAGGCCTAAAGTCCATCCGAAGAAGTCTGCTGAGAAAAAGGAGATGAAGCCAGAATGTTGACTGGAGATGAGGCTACAGCATGGGCTCAGCATCCATCCAAGAGACAAGGCCAAAGGCAGACAGGAGCCTGGAGCTCCAAATCTGTGCTTAAGGGGGGTTCGTGGGCCCAGGGGAAGAAGGTTTGGCTGGGAGTCCCAGATGAAGCTGGCCAGGGCCACCGAGGCACTCAGGGCCCTGGCATTGGCTTTCCTAATCCCATTTGGCTCAGTCAGATCACTAGTACCTTACCCAGGCACCTCCTGTAATTACTCAAAGACAAGCAAAATTTTAATGAAGCCAACTCTTTATGTCTTTACATTAGGTGGCATCATCTACATCAGAAACTTTTATTATGAATTCAGGTAAAGATACATGATTCCTGTTAATGTAGTGTATCACTCTTCACAGTGATATCTGATGAGTAAAGTAACATAGTGCTGATATAGCAGACAGGGCATTTCTCCATGGTGATGCTGTGGGGAGTTGTGGTACCTCTCAATTTATTGCCTTTGCGAAGACAGAATTTTTCCACTGTGGTTTTCCTTTGTGATTCTCCTTTGTCCCATGATGCTGGCAGCTGTGTGCACCAACAGCTGTTATGACTCGTCTATGCATGCTTTCTTGGAGAGATTTGTCACACATGCTGAACATCTGGAAATGTGCTTTGAAGGGCCCAGACTACTGTTGGCCCAGGTTATAGGTGGCCCTTAGGTTACTGGTGAAATTGAAATGTTTCAAAGGAAGAAATTGGGATTTTCAGAATTAATAAGGAGTTGATTTCATAAACCTAGATTATACTGTTTTTGCAGAAACATAACTGAGAATTGGTATTCCTGTGTAAAAATCAATATCCGCTGTATGTGATGCAGAATTATTCTAAATATTAGGAAGTGATGGTGGATATCAGAGTGCATATGTTACTAGTAAACTCCATAGAGAAATTTCCTGTACAGCTCTTTTTATTTTTGCCTCAGAGGGACAAGAAAGAGATACTTAGTTCTATTTGTTACACTTCTCGGTGGTATATGCTAACATTTACAAAGTCCCAAGCCAAGGTCATTTTTAATGAATTTGTATTGAGATAAAGTAGCTGCAGAGGTTATTTGCTTTTTCACCTGAAACATACATTAATTACAGACAAATTGACTTTCTTAAAAAATAAAACAAATTTCGTAAGTTGCCTTCAGAATAGATGTTTCTGCCAAAGTTGATTCTGATCAACTATTTAGTCTTTAATACATCTGGAAAATACCTAAATACTCCTTTCCTGTAAATCACTGACTCAAACTGTAACTACACTAGTAACTAATAACTTTCCTACCCTGTGAGCCCAGATCCTGGAGTGGAACATACTGTTGGTTTTCTGTGTGAAAACAGGGATTCTAAAACCTTTCATCACCCTGACTAGAGCCCTTCCCTGACAACTGCACCTTTGTGTTCAAAGATGAAACCCAAGTATTAAGATACTAATCAATGTATGAAGAAAAAGTATAAAGGCCTGTTTTAAATTCTGTTCACATTTTCTGCAAATGAGAGAAATTAAACAACCTGTGTATAAGTAGTAAGTACAGCTATCATGCTCTTCTTTCTTTTTCCTGAGAAAGAAAACATTACTCTATCTATCATGCTCTTCTTTCTTTTTCCTGAGAAAGAAAACATTACTCTATCAGCTACAGAATGAAGAACTGCTCAGTATAAATCACCTTGGTTTATTTCAGTTAAATTGTTCAAGGTTTATATTACTGTGAAAAAAATTATATATGTAGCCTTAATAGGATTCTAGTAAAAGGTAGTATAAAACCGTAAGATGAAATAGTATACTGCTACTAACTAATATGATTATACTTTTTGGATAGGAATCTTAAATTCTGGTCTGAAAGCAGAACTTTTGGTTTTGGGACCTGATATGTGTGCTGAATGTTGAAAGCATCTGGAAGCCACTTAATTTTATATCAAGTTTATCTCCACTCTGAAGAAAATACTTCATCTTTGGTTATTGGTAGAGGCAAATCAGAAGTTGAGTGGCAGTATGCCAGTGAAAATTTCCCACTTCTTTGTCCACTTGCCACTTAATTAAAAAAAAAAAAAGCATCAGTCAGCACCCATTGCTGTCACACTATGAGCCATGCAGCTTGCCCAACCCCAAGTTTGTTCATCTGCTGCTATTTTCCTTTGTGGTATTCAGATTCTTCCACTAAATGCTTTCTCATGTACTTTCTTATGTCTTCAGTGAAATGAAGGGAATTATACCTCTACGTCTGGGGGCAGAATCTGGCTGTGATGTATGCACGGACTGATTTGATAAGGAAAAAGGACCAGTACAGTGCACGGACTTCCCGCAAGGGCTGGGTGAGACATGGCACTGAGAAGGGCCAATAGTGATGGACATGGAAGCACACTGACAGCAGTGAAACAGGAGCGAAGCTGCAGCCAAAAGTCCTTGCCCAAGTCCACTCCAAATGTCTCTGCACCAGTCTCGTGAGAAACAAACTATGTCAGAGACTCATGGAAATGTTTCTGTAGAAATACTGTTTGAGATGTGCAACACAGCACCAAGCAATTTCTATTTATCTAGTGCTATTGGTGTTATTACCGGAGAGTGTTTGTGGCCACCCTGTTTGATTTGTGAGTAATCCTAGATCTCCCTAAAGCTGATTGGCATGACAGCTGCTTGTCTCTCCTGCAAATGAGAATATTGCCTGTTCATATCCCTTGGGAAAGGTGTGGGATAGAAAGGCCTGATGGGATCTGAGCTGAGCCCAGGAATAAGTATGAGAAGGGTGGAGAATGATTTGTTGCTGAGCAGCTAAGCAATTTGAAGATGGTGGTGGATGAAGCCTGAAGTGAAAAGGATTAGAAGATGAGTGCACAGTAAAAGGCACAGACTGGCTAAAGCCTTGGGAAAAGAGCAACCCAGAAAGAGCTTTTTGGCAGGGGGTGAATGCTTGAAAGTAATTTCTTTCAAGAGAACAGAGATACCTTGCTTGTGTGTGGGGACAGGAACCTTGGTACTGCAGACACCCCCACCCACTGAAGGGCTTGTTCCTGGAGAAGGCTGCCCATGTTGGTGGACAGGCATTGCAGCCTCTCTCTCCTGTTTCAGCAGCTTTGGTGCTGGGCACAGCTTGCTGGGGGACTGCACTTGTGCTGGGAGGGAGGCTGGGGCACCTCTGCTTTAAGCACCATGTCAAGGTCTGTGTCCAGAAGCAGCTGCTTGCTGGGGAGCAGGAAGACACCCAGGGAGGGGAGATGGAGTGGCATGGAGGATCTGAATCCCAGAGGCAGGCATGAGTTTTGTATGCTGGGGTGCAGCAGAGCAGCAGGCTCAGGATAGGGGGAACACAGGAATTGCGGAGGTGAGAAGAGTTGAAGAAGTGAGGCTGAGGTCTTGTTTCATGAATTAGAAGGGCGTGGGGATGCACTGAGCCACTGATTTCTCAGAAACACATTTTCCAAAACCAAATTTACAGGAATGACTATGAATAACAGTTGTTTAGCTAAAGGATGATGCCTTCTGCTTTTGGTACAAGGGCTAAGACATGTTTTTGTGATTTTCCCATTTTACTCCTCCTCTGGCAACCTATGACTTATTACTGTATGTGTTTATTTCTAAGACAAGTCTGTGGGATTCCCCTGTTTTGACATAAGTAGTAAACCAACTCCTCCTGCTGTCTCAACACTACTTCCCTGAGGACTTGGTGAGTTATGAGGTGAAATATATCCTATTTATAGTCTCATAGAGCACCAGAATGTGCAGTAGTGAATATTTTATTGACATTTTATTTTCGCAGAATAGATATACTAACATCTAGAGAGCCTAGATTACAAGTGGAAAGCATAAAAATTCATTAAGATATATATAGAAAGAGTGTGATTACATGAGATCCAATCATCCTAATATACATCTTAAATGCATTGACATTAAAGAAATTATTAAAGCCAGAACATAATACAAGAGAAGATTTACTGAATATCACAGGGATCCAGTCAGAAAAGCAGGGCATTCATTCTGCAGGTGGTGAAGAGATTGGCCTTTTGGTTGGTAGTTATCCACTTCATGTCATAGCTTCCTACATTTGAAGTTCTTGTTCTCTTGGCTGCTAGAGAGCAGGTGGGTGTGATGTTCAAGTCAGTGTGCACAATGAGGAGATACACCAGCACCACTCCACTTCAGCCCTCTCCCTTCTTACTCATGGAGCAATATTTAATGCTATCATGGATGAGATTTTACTTTCTCTGTCAGGGGAATCATAACTGTGTAACTATCTAAACAGCAGCCAAAGAGAGAGGAGAGCAATAAATCTGTTGGCCTGGTAAAGTTTTGCTGGTCACGGCTTCCCCTGCTGAAAAGTCCCCACTGCAGTACAATGATAGAGAAAGGAGGTATTGAACAAAAATTTCTATCTGTTTCTGAAACTCTACCTTCCAAACCAGAGACTGCAAGTACTGCAATATTGGAAAGTTCATACTAGTGCTGTGGAAAAAAACCCATTCTCCTTCCCAGGAGACTTCTCCTTCCTATCTGTTTGGTGGTTTCTGTTATCCCTTTGAAGTGCTGTAGCTGGTAGTTGGTAGCTGTATTTCTGTCCAGGCCATATAGATTAGGTGGGAAAGTGGTTTTTTTCCAACACAGTGATGAGTCACCTCAAAAGATGAATAGTCATTTGCCTTGGAAAGAAGTAGGCTTGTAGAACTCTGGGTTTAGGAATAAGACTCATCCTTCATTCACTGTAAGAGTCAGCAGTAGGACTGAATATCCTACTGCTGTGTACAGCAGTGTATGTATACTTGTCTGCTGTCACTGGAGTCCTATATGCCCTGTTTTCAAGTACTACATAATTGTTCTAGGGCAGGAAAAAGCCATAGGCAAACAATTTGGAGGAGAGGTTTCTTTCAGAGTTATGGTGTCACAGGGAAAGCAACAACAGAGGAAAGCTAATCTCTCCTTTTAACTCACACTGATTTTGAAAACTGAAAAGCTTATGCAGAAGACCTCCCTGTCAATTTCTTCATGGTTTTGTTATGGATCCTGGCTCTATGTCTAGATGCATTTTCTCCTTTCTTTCACATGTGCAATGTACATTTTAATATTTTGTCCCATCTTGCTTTGGTCTTGCACTTTTTTCTTTTTTTTTTTTTCTTTTCACTGCAGATTATGTTTGGCTAGTGATGTTGCTGACCGCTGCCCATACTGGAAAAGTATTCAACTGGAAGAGTCTAATGCCCCAAGTGTTGATTGCCACCATGACAACTGCCAGGCCAATCAGATTTACACCCAGGCCAGCTTTCACCTACAAAAGCATCAGAACATGATCAATGACAACTTGATCAAAACTAGTTAACATAGAAGAAAGAAGGCAGTAGGGTGTATATATGTATGTATATTGATTTATGTACAGTGTGATTTTTACAGTCAAAAAAAGCACAGTGAGTGTTATGTATCAGAGTGTATGTTGTGGGAGTATTCAGGAGTTAGTCAGAAGTTGATGCAGCTCATTGGAAAACTGCTCAGTTTGTCACTTGAACTCAATCAGATAATCAGAATGGGGAGTTATACTACACATAGCAGGGTGATAACTACGTGACTTACTGTGGAACTATGTGATAAATCTAATTTCTGATGCTCTCCGGTGCTTGTCTTAACAGGTCAATCCAAAGGACTGTTTACTCCTGTTCTCTGGTACCTCTTTAGACCATTACATTCATAAAAAATAAAGATGAGAAATGTGCATATCCTACAGCAGATGTGGGGATGTTCTTAACCTGACAGCTTGGTTGCATAACAACAGTGCAGATCAATATGACTTTATATTAGCACCAATATCATCATCATTATTATTGCCTGCTGTATGTGGGGACAAGGTGTTCTGGTTGGGAAGCATGGGAAGATACACCCGATCTTAAGACTTACCATATCTTTAATCTGGCAGTGCCCATAACTGAAGACAATGGCATTTGGAGGATTACCCACTGGCAGCATCACCGCAAATGAGATACACATGGTGACAGGAATCAGAGTGTATAAAGGGTTGATAAGCAGGGTTTCTGACTAGAAGGAGAGAGGGAGAGAGGGTTTCACTTAACCAATAAAAGCCACTGCTCACAATTAGGATGAAAGGACCCTCTCTGCTTTATGTGAAGATCAGATTCTGTGAATGTCACTGCCCTACTTTCTAAACTTAAGTGTGGAAGGTTTATTTGGTGGTTTGGGTTTTTTTTTTAGAGTAGTGCTATAATTTGTAGCTGCTCCAGGGATTTCTTGAGACATTTCACACTGAGGGAGGGTGGAGATTGCTACTATTAGGCTGCCTTTGCTCTTTCTTCCACTTGTTCTCCATGTCATTCTGTGTTGTGTCTTCTGGATCTTAACACTAACTGCCACTTCAGTCTTCATCAAGAGAAGTCACAACTGATTGACACAAATACCTTCTTTCTGTTGCTGAAGATACTGAGACCATTATGTAAAGTCATCCTGAATGATGGTTAAGAATACTAGTTGTTCATAGTCCAAACTCACATGGTGAGAAGGCAGTAATGATGGAATATTTGTTACAGTGGACTAAAGAATAGTCCTTCCACTGCACCCTTCACTGCACCTTTCACTAGTGGTGAAATTCTGTATTTTTGTTTATATTGCTATGGCCTAGTTAGAGGGGAAGGGGAGGAGGGTGTTCACAAGGCTAACTTCATTTTGTAGAGGGAAATGTTTCCAGGTTACTTTTACAGTCAAAAAAGATACACTGTCTTAAAATGTCAGTTCAGACTCCTAAAGGTAGATTACTGCTCTAAATTTCTCTTTAGGAGAGTCTCTTTCTGCATGGAGGAGAAATAAATCTGAACTCATAAGCCATACAAACATAATTACTTATTTTCATCTGACCGTATCTTCCTATTACCTCAGAGCTGTTCACATAATGTACTTTGGGACAATCCCATAAAATTTTTGTAATAGGGAAACACTATTAATGACCTGCGTTCTTGGTAAGAAAAGTTTCACATAAAGGAAAAGAAAAGAAATGACAATTTTCTATAACTGCTATTCCAATATAGGATGAAATTTGTATCTCTTTCCTCTGCTTTTGTCACAGGTCTCCAGATTCTTTTCTATCCCTTACAAACATCTCTGCTTTCCATGCTGGGTGATAGTACACTTACCAGATCACCCCCTTGAACACATTTAAATCTGGAGGGATTTGTCTGAGAGGTAGTGAATAAATTTCTTGGTGCTAAAATATGCTTTTGGCTGCCCAAGTTTATTGTTTTTCCAAAGCTCAAGACTGCAGAACAGTAACTTGGAAACTGAGTCTGGCTTTCATGCAGAGTGCCAATACCCTGACATCCTGAAACATTCTCATAAACATGTCAGGAAACAGCAGAGTAAAAATGTCGTTGTTTTTACTCACCATGCTGCATAAAATAGGCAGAAAGATGGTTATGGTTGCTGGATTACTAACAAACTCTGTTACCAGAGACACCAAAATGCAGGCCAGCAGAGTTACAGCCCAATAGGGAAGGCTGCTCAGGGAGAGCATTTGTCGTCCAATCCATGTAGAGAGGCCAGAGGTCTAGGGAAAGGACAGAACCATAAGAATTAGTAAATATTCAGTGTGTTTGTAAAACAGATTCTTCTCTTTGGGGCAGTTTGCATCAGAGGATCCCACCAGTAAATAAATAAAGTTTAGGTCAATGCTTTCTTGCATTTCCTTTTGTTCAGTAAACTGGATTTCACTGCAGTGCCTAATAAATAGTTGTCCGTAGTAGCAAAGAGATACATTTGGCAGTTGATAACATTAAAAAGGCACCAAGTCTGATCTTCCCACTTTCTTCAGCATGTGGAGTATTGCAAATTGGTGATGAAGGTTTGCACAGGCTGAGTAGAATTCATTTTGAGATTAAAATACACAGATTTAATTGTGTACATGTAGGAGTCTATAGGAGACCAGAATGTGCACTCATGAATTACACTGAGTTTAGATACAGTCAATAGAGCCTGGAGTGTGATTTGTCCAGTCAGGGCTAGGAGCTTGACTCAGTTGCCCAAAGAGGAGCATCCAGTGGCAGCTGAGATGTTCCCCCTCTGTCTGGGTAGCTGCTAGTTGAGAAGGTGTGAGGTCTCCCTCAGATCTCATGCCACATCTGCCGGTCTTGCAGGAATATGTAGATATTCTAAAGCATCTGAAATTGCACAATTGACTTAAATCCTAACCATCTTTTTGTTAGCTAGATCACTGTCTATTGAGTGAAGAGAGTAGGGACTAGGTTATACACAAACTTGAAAGTATCCACATTGTAAATCCAAACTAAGGAGCATACAAAGGCACAAAAGTACAGGTTTATAATTTTTTTTTAGGAAGGAGGATAAAAATCTAAACCAGAACCTTGCATCCAGCTGCTAAGGCATAACCTCCTCCAACCAACACTACAATCTCCCAGGGCATGGTCTTCTGAAAGTCCTTCCAGGTAATGATGGGATCCACTGTGTTATTGTCTGTTGACTTTTCACCGTTTCCTATATCAAAATAAAACAAGTGTGTGACCAGTATTACATTGACCTTTTTGCAAAGATCTTCACATTTTTCACACAGGTAGGAATAATGTAATATCAATGGGAGTTATGTTCAGAACTATCTTATCTGTGAGAGAGGTGAAGAAGAAGTGTGAAGCATATTTCTCTGGTTAGCTCAGCCTCAGAAAAGGCAGCATATTAATTCCAAATGTCCTGACTTCCTCTTGGCTGCTCTGTTGATGTGAATAGTTATAAACCTCTGTGTTTCATTCGATCGCTTTTTGAGGGACTGTGTGCTCTGTTGTGTACACTGTGTTGTGCATACACATGTGCAAATTATCTGTAGAGTACAAAAATGGAGCTACAGTGGGATTATTTTCTCCATGAAGGGCTTTTTCTCTCTCCAGTAGGCCATGAAGCTTTATAAAGTGCATTTATGTCCATAGGTTTTATCTGAGGACATTATTTTTGTAGACTTCTGAGTGTTTTCTTCAAGTAGGAGTTGCAGCGTGTCATTTTTACTAAATGCTGCATAATATATGTCAGTATAAAAAAACCCACATCAATATACATTTGTAATCTCTACATAAGACTATGCAGGCGATTCTGTTTTCATATAGGACTGCTGAAAGTCTGGCACAACATACTGATCAATACCACCGAGTGTTACCCAAACATGAATGTGAAATAACAATTCTTATTATCGACTGTGAGAGAAGCATTGCTCAAAATTGGAACTTTGTCTGACATTTACTGACCTCTTTTATGTTTATGATATTATCAATGATTTCTGCTGTGTAAGTGACAGACAGATTATTTACTAGAGCCTATCTTCAACCAATTTTACAAACATCTGCCTTATAGTTCTCTGCAAGGAACTCTATCTGAACCTTTCCTAAAACTCAGTCCTAAATTTTGATAACTGTTAACAGAGAAGAGATGGTAGCCTCAGGTACAAGATCTATTTGTCATCCGCTGGTTGAGACAATATGAATTAAAGCAACAAAAAAAGGGAGTTTGTTGTAGGAAGGGCTGGTGTCAGAGGAGAAACTGAACCCTGACCGTTCACAGTAAAAATCTCTTGCTTGTACATTTTACAGAGAACAGAAATAGGCACTGGAAAACATGCCAGATAGCTTGCCTGCTGCATCTCCCTCACCTTTTTCCTGTTTTCCAAAACATGGCTTTTTTGCTGGAATCAGGAAAAGGAGAAAACCAAGAAATAGAGAGACAGTGGCATCAGTCCGGTAACCTTTCCTACAAAAGAAACAATGTGGTTAACATAAAAACAATGAAACATTTCCAAACAAGGTACATGGCTCCAAACAAATCGTTGCAGGTGAAGTTGTATTTCCACATCTTACTAGCAGCCCACTAGAAAAATGTCTGCATATTAAGGATACAAATTGGATTTTATTCCCATTTGTTATACTGACTCCTGTAGCCAACTTCAATCACTGCTCAACAATTTTTAACATTCCAGTGAAAAAAAGAAATCCCTTTTGGTTTACAAATGTATTAACTCTGAGGTACAGAAAAGTAGTGTGTTTACTAGAAGCAGGAAACAGTAAACACATTCTGGGGAAAAAGCCAAACCCAAGTGATCTTTTGAAAATGGACTGTAGATTGATTTTAAATTAAATGTTTAAAACTCATTCTGAAAAAGTATTTTGAGGAGTGCCAAACTTCAGAGTTCCCCAGGAAATCCCAATATTAGAAACTGTTTTTCTGACAAAATTAGGATGAAAAATTAAAATAATTTTATTCAGTAAAAATGTAAACAAAATTTCAAATCACTTATTCTTTGGTATACATTGTGTGTTATAGTTATTTTTAATATAATTTCTTTAAACATTAAAAAAAAATTACTTGTTTCAGTCACCATTCTGTGTAATATTTAGTTGTACATTTTCTTGATAAAATTTATCTTCCAAATAATACAGGTTTTGTCAAAAATGATTCTTTTTAAAAAATAATGAACAAAAAGAGTTTGAATTACAGTTGCAATCTATTCCAGTGACAGCTTCTCTATGAATGCAGTAAAATGTTTTAACTTTGGAATCTGACCCTCCTATTTTTTTACATCTGAAATATGTTTATTTTACTTTCTGAAGTCACTGCTTACTGAGAAACAATACAAATTAAACAGATGTAGGTTAAAAATCAAAAAGTTTTATTTTTGAATAAAGACTTCATTTTTTACCTCCTTGTTAAAAGTGGCTGATAGTGTTTTTAAGGCTAAAAGTTATTGCAGAAAACCAGAAGAAGCAAGGCCATATTCTTGTGAAGTTGTTTAGGGAATTTCACTTACTTCTCAAAAAAAGATGACCATCCGGGTACAAAGCCAGGTTCACGAGTAAACCAAAGCAAGGTCATTAGAATGAAGAAAAATCCAGTCACCATCTCAGGATAGCTAGAAATAAAGGCAAAAATAAAAGCTAGGAATTAAATTAAAGGTCTGTTTGAAAACTGCAGAGTAAGTTCCAGAAGAAGTAAGAAAGGAGAAATTGGTTCAAAAAAAAAAAAGAATAAAAAACATAGGGAAAATAGAAAGGAAGATTAGTTTGTATTAAGGAATTCTACATTTGGCTCTCAGCTGGGAACCATCTAAATCCAGTTGAAAATAGACTAAAAATTTCCATTTGTATTTGCAGTTCAATAATTCATGAGTCAGACCTGAAGGAAAATATTTGTAAATGCTTGTTTTGTATTTGCATTATTATCTGATTAAATGTGTTAACAAGGTAAAGCTCATGTTAATATTTCACTGTAAACACTTTCTATTGTGTATTTTAAAGTTTAGAAAGCGTAAGAGCAAATGAGAATGTAAATTAGCACAGATATTTTAAACACGTGGTATAAATACAAGGTGACTTGAGGATACTGAATTTTAATTTAGGATAGATTTAAATTATGTATGGTATCATATTTAGGCACAGTCTGAACAACGGTCTGGATTCAGTGTTGATCGTATTCAGCAAGTTGATCTGTCAACATTTCAGCTGAACACCACAAATGTTTTGGGAAAAATGGATTTTATGAGGTATCATCCCTTTTGAAAAATGAAAATCTTGCAAAATAATCTTTTCAAGACACATTTCTTGCCACCATGAATAAAGATTATGGGCAACTGGGAGGGCTGGACATCTCATGGCATGGGAGATTGCTGCAAAGCGCTTGCTAACAGTGAGTGTCTGAACTGGGAAGAGGGGTGCTTTAATGATTTAGTTTGTTCAAAGATAGAGACAAACCTTGTCTCAGATAATCTTTGGACCCTGGTATAAACCTGAATGTTTCCTTTTATTTACTTTTTCTCTAGAAATAAATAAATGAGTAAATAATGCATGCTTGTAACAAAGTCTTAGATTTTAATTAATTTTTGCATTTAGTTCTACTCCTATCCTGGAAAAGAGAATAAAGAGCTGACAGTTTAAGAATAATCTACATGAGCCAAAGGCAACGTGGAGGATAATATGAGAGGATGGTCCTGCCTAGAGAGGTAAATTCCTGAGGAAGGCAGGTCTGTTTTACCTAACATTTCCCAGTTTCTTATATTCTTCTTGAATTCTTCTCTCTGACATTTCTTCCCGTTTGGTCTTCTTCTTCTTGCTCACAGAACAGGTCTCTTTAAAACTGAGGTAGATAGCACAGTAAAATTAGACAAGGGCATAAAGTGAAAAAAAAAAAAAAAAAAAAAGTAACAGCAATGAAGCAAACCGAGAATTCCAGTTGCCAGGGGCTCTTGAGCGAAGATGTGGCTGGGGCAAGGCCTGATTGCAACGGAAAGGGAAATTACTGCGTGTGCTTTTTGCATAGTCTAGTTTCCAGATCTTCTGAGAATCAATCCTAAACATAGTAGGAAGGTCCTCAGAGTGCTCTGACTAATACTGACTGGTATCACTGAGCCATTTTGAGCTGTGACTGGTCTCCCTTTGTGCAGGCTTCCTCAAACAGCTGGTGGTGGCCAGATTTTTCAGGTGCCAGAAACCTCTAAAGGCTGTGACTAATTTCTTCATCACATGGAAAGACCATGACAGAGGACAGCTATCAATAGATCTTTTAGTGGGGGAACTGTAATGCTTTCCAGTTGGACCAGGGGTGTCCAACACATATGGGGCCTCGTCTGACTTTTGAGCCCAGATTTGACATGAATATTCAGGATTCACAGTAAGTAATAGGGGAATGTGCTGAACGTCCAAATAGCTTTCATGACCTGTCTGCTTCTACTAATGATGTTTATAAACCAGGCACAATCAGTGTAGCACCAAATTGCCTCTGTCACAGAGGCCAAGGCAATCAGCCTAGTGTTTTGTCATGGTGAAAAATACCTGCACTTCTGCCAGGAGCATACGAGCACAAGCACATTTCATAGCTGAATGTATTTAAATCTGTTATACCTTTGTGTGAGGATTAGGTGAAGTGCATAGTCTATTCAGACTGCCTTCATAACAAAGCCTGCACATTCCTAATTGAAGTTAAGTTACTTGCAGGCTCACTTTATCCTTTTTGGTTTATTCTTTTGAGCAGCACTGCTTTGCTGTGCTTTGAGCCACAAACCTCTGCTCCAGCTGTACCCTCTGTCACACAGAGGTGTGCAGTGGGTTGAGAAACCTCTGCAGCTAAACGAGTCTAAACTAGGCTGTAGCAGCAGGGACTTCAGTGACTGAAGTACCATGGGAGCACAATGGCCTGGTTTTATAGCTCCTTCTGTTACATTTTAATATCTCATTTCGTACCTCACCAGAGATCCATGCCATAGCAATGGCCAAACCATGGGCTACGATCTCCCTCCATGTATCTGGTTAAGGCCAGATTGTCAAAGGAATTTGCATAGGTCAGGATGCAGGCAGGCCCTGTCTGGTTAACAAAAAGTCTTAAACAGGCTTTCCATTTCACTTGTAAATAGCCGTCTATGTGACAGTTGGTTTTAGCACACTGAGCACTGCCCTGCACTTAAGGGCATTTAAATTTCCTTGCAAACCTTTCTGTTAGACTCCAATAAAATCCACCAGCAATAATGCAGCTGCTGGAAGAGAGGAGCTATATGGTTTATAATGTCCAGTTCTATAGTAACAATTCTACCTTCAGCTCTGCTTTGCTCACAAAAATCATTTTGTGATTTCATTATCCTTTCTCTTTGACCTAGTCTGTAGCCTAAAAACCAAGTCTGACATGTTCCAGCTGAGCCAAATAGACTAGACTGGTGACATTGGCCTTCCTAGGGAAAAGCATGAACATTACGGGAATTCAGTGCGCATTTATTCACAGGCATTAGGCAGCTCTTTCAACATTTTATAAGTGTTTCTAGGCTTAGAAGGATGTGAAGACAGACTATCGTAACCAAGCTTCTAACATAATATATTCTTTAATGAACTGCCGTGAACAGGAGTCAGAGATTAAGGAGGCTTGGAATCAACCAGTACTTCTCAAAAAGTCAATAATGCTTCAGTCTCTGGTATTATTTAGAACAATATTAATCAGCATGAGGTCTTGGATGCAATGTGGAATTTCAATTATATTTATTTTGTTTAAAAAAATAAAGTAATTGAGGGTCATGTTAGGGCCTGTTCCCTCTCAAGATAAAAAAAAAAAAAAAAGGACTTATTTTAGCCTTTTCGTTTGGAACTACAAGGTTCAAGAGACTGACTGAGAGAAGGACATGGAGCTCTTCACCTCTAAATTACCTCTTCAAATCTAGTCAAGGTCAGCAGCAAACAGAAGTCATTATCATTTTATTCAATGTCTTAGGTGAAGTAAATTAGTGATGTCAGTTCAGCTTACTTTTAAGAGTAAACTAAATGAAATTAAGGTCACTTTAATTCTGAGTAAATATGTCTGCACCACAATTTAATGCAGATTAACTAATCCACTCTAAATGCACACATTTAGTCAATTTTCATTAACTTTGCTGAGTACCTCTGCAAAGAGAATACATGGTGCAAATTAACTAGGAGACTGAACCTTGTTCTTATTTTGGGGCTAAGGGACTCACTGGTATCAAAAGGTATTTGTCTCTTAGGCTGTGAGTCCTTTCCACTTTAAAGAGAAATATATATGGAGTCTATTTAATTTTAACTGGCCTTCCATTAATTTTACTGAACTGGGGGCAGATCTGAAAAGTAACTTGTCCCCTTGCAGTTATTTTTCTATTCATCTTTTAAACTGTACTTTTCCAAAAGGACTTTTAATAAGATTTTTGGCCCACGGTGAGATCCTCATGGTCATGAGAGTCAAAAACTCAGTTGAATGCATAGTGAGGATTTCCATCAGCTATACTTAGGCACTACACTCTCAAGCAATTATACTGTACACTGCTGTCTATGCAGCACAGCTAAGCAGTAAGATTTCCTCTGGTAATTGTTCTTGCAAGAAGAAGGAAGTTGTGCCTTAGGTTTTGTCATTTCCAACCAGAAGCATCTTTATGAGACAGGTTCTAGATGAGCCACAGATGACCTGCTTTTGTAACCCACGCATCTTGAACAACCCGCACTCACTTGCAACCCAAGAACAGCCAATGCATCCAGAACCAAGTCAGGACCAACATGATGAGGGAGATGGGAAAACTGAACAAAAACCAAGTTCCAAAATTCACAACTTCAGCATTTGGGTAGTGGCTGTAAAGTTAAAAAAAGGAAGCAGAAGAAGTTAGAACGGTAAAAGCACAGGCACCTCCAGTATGCACAGATGCATACACATATATATGTATATATATTTGTCATGACATGATAGAAAAATTGCATCAGTATGTATTTGCAACAGCTGTGTTACATGTGCATAGTGAAACCAATTGCCAAATAAAGTCAATCATTGACTGTGCCTCACCAAGAGTAGAGCAATATAGCATTTGACACCTTTAAGACCAGATGGTATGGATTGTCTAGTGAGCTTCAAAAACCCTTAGAGTTAGCAGGAGTGAAATTCTGACTTTACCTGTGGTTTTTGTTAAAGCTCTTTTTAGTGTCAGCAGACTTCAGAATAATTTCACACAGAATCTCTTTGTATGTCTTATTGTGGACCACACAAATAACTATAGTCTCCTGGCCTCTGACAAAGATGTCTGATACATACATTTGAGGGAATTGTCATAATAGCAAGATCTTTAGAAATTCTGTAAAATCCAAACCCCCGTGTTAAAGATGGCTTCTGAAATTAGTTTTCTTTGCTACCATCATTTTAGAGGGAGAAACGAAGGATACCATGGCAGCAGGGGCAGAGGTAAATGATCAGAATCCGGTTTGAGTTTGGACGCATATCTGTTCATGATGAGAAGTACCACCGGTCTTCTGACAGAGGTAACATTCATGTCTTTGAGAGCCCTGGGCATATATGATAAAGGAAATAGCTGATCAGAGAGCTGCCTCCCATCTCGGAAGCAAAGGTGTAAGGCCACACTTCTAAGTTTATTTATTTTTGCACTACATGTTGAGCAGCCCAAGTAACACTAATGATGTCTTTAGGTTCACCATAAGAGCTTGGTTTCTAAGAACCCATAGAACAATTTGAAGCCGATTTTAGGACATTTCTTCTTTTGTGGGTATTTCTCTTTATCTTCTTTACTGTATCTTCATGGCTTTAGTGTTTACTTTTCCAGAGTTCCTGCTCCCTTCATGATAATTTGTTTGTAAAATCAAAAGAAGTTGCTGAAAAAAATTAAATGCTACCACATGCTGAGGAATTTTTATTTTGCATGGAGAAAGACATAGATATGTATTAATTTAAGCTCCCCCTTTCAATCATTAACATTAGTAATAACATTAGAGTAGGAAACAAAATTGCCTTCAGAGAGATGCTGTCTTACAAAGTTTCCTTGAGGCAGTAAATAACCCATGGGGAAAGCCACAGAGGTGGTAACGACCCAAACACCATTCTCGCACAACCACAATATCACTTACTTGTTGAAGTGCTCTAAGAATATGAGGCTAGTGGAGGTCCCTATGATGGTTGTCAGTCCTCCAATTGTTGCTGCGTAGGAGATACTCAGTGAGAGGCATTTACAGACCATGTGGTCATGTCGGGTTTGATACCGGTACTTAGTGTTCAGGCCCAGTTCTGAGGGCTTAGGAGGCAGGACCAGTATCTGAGCCTGTAAGGGGATACATTCACCAGAGAAAGCAAGTGATCAGAACAGCAGCCCAACTTGCTCTAATGCCAAGGTGATACTGGTCCTAGAGAAACAACAGGTTTGTGTAAGAGGGGACAGGTTTTTTTCTTCAGGGATTAACTGGGATCAGAACTAGAAACCTGTCCAGGGGCCTGAAATTGCCTGGTCTGTGGCAGAAATGTAGGACAAACAGTAATCAGACTTCTGGCTGTGGTTTGGGCCAGCTCCAGCTCTGACTGGAATCTCAGCAGGATACCAAAGCCTTTGTGGGCTTCAGGGGAGGGATGCCAGCACTGCAGCAGTAGAAATCCATAATCCTTGAGGTTTATGAGTGGTCATGTTGGACTCAGAGCCTCTAATTAGGAATGGAGTGCTAGAGGTCTCAGAAACGGCATGAAAAAGGCTGGACAATAAGAATATAGAACAAAAAAGATGCAGGAAAATACTGCTCCAAAAGAAGCTTTCTTAGCAGTGCCAGGAAAGTTTCCGTGTTGGTTAATAAAGTTCTTGTAGTGGAAAAAAAGGTACAAACCTTCCAAGGACTTCACATGCAATCCAAGGCTGTCATTTAGGATCAGGAAAAAGGCAGCAAGTGGTTCAGATGGATTTGTTAATTTATTAATTTGTGTTTATGTAGTAAAATTAGTCATGCCATAGGTTCATCATGATTGTGTGGGTACCCTGTCTGCAATCTGTGTAGGTTAAAAGTGAAGTGAGTAAACTAGTTACAAAATAACCACTGTATGTGTATGGGAAATGGGTATAAGAGGAAATTAAATATCAGGAACAGTGCATTAGCCTATTTTGGAAACATATTCAGATTCTTTTGAACTGTGAGTGCAAATTCGTGTGTTGATTTTAGCCTAATCTTCAGGACATCAATTAAGATACTACATAATTATAGTCTAAACAGAAATCACTTTTTGGATCCACTCACAAGAAGTAGAAATACTGGAATGGACTGCTGTAATGGAGGATTTTGAGGGTAAAAGGAGATGGATACTAAGACTACCTAACGAACTGGCTGAACAGTTCAATGGTCCATGCGTGCTGCTGGTTTAGTTCTGAATAGGATTTTGTGTGACAGGGACTGTTATTTTTGAGTTGGGCTGCTTTCCAAGAAGGCTTTGCAGAAATAAAGTGGGTAGAACAGCCAGATAAGAAGGGAAGCTTGTGATCACATTACTGAATGTAAAGCTAAATTAATTGTATTAGCCACTGGGGGAGAGGCTTCTGAACATACCTTTGCTGGGGGCATCTAAATGGGAGCAAGAACTAGCAAAGGGCCCAGCCATGACTGCTGTAAGATGATGGAGAATGATTCCATGTAACACAGCTTACAAGGAACAAATACGAAACAGTTGGGAGCAGATGAAGTTCATGTCTGTCTTTTCCCTCACCCCCCAGGTCTAAGATCTCCTTACCTGAGGTAGGTGCTGCCCATTGCTCTTAGAATTCATTGTTCCAATAGGGTTGGCTATCATGTGCACACCATTCATACTCTGTAGGGAGTAAAATGCCTTTGGATTAGTATTTCTTCCATTCCTAGGGGCACTTAGATTAGAATTTATGATGGTTTCTAAAGGTCATGGATAGTGGACTTTTGAAAAAAAAAAAAAAAAAAAAAAAAAAAAAAAAAAAAAACCACACTAAAATTTCAGCTGCAAACTTTACACTGAAACAAAAAAAAAAAAAAAGGAGATTCTTTTTATATAAATCTCTGGTTTTATTTTAAAGTGATCTTAAAAGTGAGTTTATAATAAGTTTAGGTCTTCTCCCTCTGCCATGTAGGTGAATCTAACAGGTCTTTTGCTAGAGACTATGACCTCGTTATATGCTTAGTTTCTAGTAACTGAGATGTCTCAGCTGCAGAAGCTGGCAATACCTGGACAATAAAATATCATTATTTGAACTTGCTAGAAACCATATGGAATTGTTAGTGTACTGACTGGATCTCAAGATCTCCAGAAATAAAAACAACGAACACTACAGATCTAATGTTCCCCAACTTCTTTTGTGCAAGTAGGCTGATAGTTTAAATGCAAAGCAGGACACTTTGCCAACAACCACTACTTCCTTGAAATAAAGGAAACAAGTTTGTTGCACAGCTGTGTGGACTCTGCTCTGATGGTTCCTGCATTAGAATACAGTGTTGCTCAGAAGATACTACCTATGACAATACCTTTGAGTGCATCAGGGAGCTGAAGTCAGTAGTAGTAGCACTAAAAACAAAGAAAGAAAAATATACTTTAAAAATGCGTGTTCACCCAGCTCCCTCAAAAGGCACACATCATGGGTAGGAGAGGCAACATCTGCAGGAGAGCTAGTGCCTACTGAAATGGTGAAGAATACCATTTATTAGTGCCTCTTATGTTGTGATTTAGCCAGACACATAAGAGTCATTACGTTTCACAGCTCTATCTCCAACTGTGTAGCAATGGGGTTCCACCTTCCATGCAAGAAAAAAATATGTATTTTAGGTAGTATATACCCCATTATAGCAATGGACTCCATTCACATTGGATTAAATCACCATGCAATCCAGCTCTACCACTGTCTTGTTCTATTCAAGTTCTTCTGCTGACCTCTCCAGTGCTGTTTCTGAACACCTACCTGTAGTACATTAAAGCCTTCACTAAAATCTGTCCTGTGCAGCATGTGGACCATGCAAACAATCTACTGAACTTCTACTTTTACACTGAAAACAGATTTAATTCCAGAAGATGAGCTACTTTTCTTTTCTGAACAAATTTCAAGCTCTTTTTACAGTAATTTTTATAATAGCTCTGTTGTGCAATATCACATATTCTTCCATAGGGATTAAAGGGATTAATGGCACAATGCCAAAATGAAAAATTGATTCTATACTGCACAGAAAATATAGCTGGGATAAAAAGAGATAGCAGAGGAAATATTGGAGAACCTGTTAATCTCCAGAATAATAAGAAAATTATTTAGATCTTGCAAGTCATCAACATGTGCTCTTTGAAAGATAATGCTTATTTCAAAGTAAATTTTTAAAGGTGTAACAAGAACTTGTTTTACTTTTATTTTGAACACTTATGAACAATATAGAAGGATCTTAAGAACAGACTCTGTAATTCATTCTCACACCTTGTAAGAAAATGCTCCTCAGGATTTATCTATAACATAGTTTTGGGAAAATTACTTTGTATATTCTCCTGTATATCTTGAGCTGCTGATTAATTTGATAATTTGACAAATAAATTAGTCCTTTCCTGAATCTGCCCTTTTCACTTTACTAGATTTTACTCCAAATAGAAACCAGATTGAAACTGTTAGTGTTTCAAACTTCTGAAGAACTTTGTCTATACTAAAATAAATATTTTACATTTTTTTGGGGGGGAGGAGGGGTGTTTTTTGTTGGTTCCTTCTCCCCCCACCTTAAATGCTCTTGACAATTCACATTTTCCTCAAGAATCCTCTGTAAGTGTCTTCCTTCTGGATATGTCCTGTGGACAGTCCATACTGTGCTTGAGTCCTCTCCATCACTGTTCCTTCAGGGGAACAGAAATAAAACTCTATGGATAGCACTCTCTTATTCAGCACAAATACAGACTTCAACAGAGCTTTCAAATCCTGAAAAACAATTTCCTTCTTTCTAAAATGGACATGGTGTTAAAAAATAAATGAATACTGGGAAGCTGGAGTGAGATCCAGACCATTACATTAATCCAATTTCTCATATAAGCCTTCCTTGTCAGTCACATCTGAAATATTCAGTTGTAAGCTTCTGCTTGCCCTTCCTGACTCTATTCCTGGGTTCATCTCATTGCAACCTGTGTAGGGCTCAAATCTCCAGCCGTGATGTACAAGGTTCATTCTTACTCCTCATTGATGAAGATAAGCTCCAGTGAAGGTTGGCCATGCTTTTCGCTGAGACCTGCAACAAAGAAAGAGAAAGCAGCCCTTGGGGTAAGAACTGAGTTGAGCCCCTGGGCCACAGCACTCAACACAGAGAAGCTATTGCAAACAAAAGTTTGTCCAAACCCTCTCAGGTTTGTGACTTTTATGAAGCATTTTATTGTGTCGTACTGTCCCGATCATGTGCCTCTGGCAATTAAAAGACTATCATACCTAAGTATGGGCAAGGTTAGATGATATTATTTTCAGCCTGGTATCTGTGAATTGAAAGAAGATTTTTTTCCTTCCCAAATCCTTTCTTTCTTGGAAGTAATGAACAAAATGAACCTTAGAGCTCTTATCAATGTTTTTATGTTGCACCTGCTCTGACCTGGGCAGCCTGGAACGTCAGGGGTAGGATGGGCAAGCGTAGGATTGTCACAGAGTACGCTTTCAGGCCTCTTCTACATTTCTTTGACTTTCTTCTCAGAGATTTCCTTCCAACCTCATGAAATCCTATGACCTAAGCGTTTATCACACAGAAACTCCAGTACATGGCCTAATTCAACATAAATAGTTTCCCAACTCCAGTTTTCCAATTACATCTTGAAACTTTCTTTCATTTTTTGAAAGAAGTATCAGAGTACTAAAAGAAAGAGTCTGGACAAACATCTTTGGCAGTACAAGTCAGACAGCTCTGACCTTGATAGAATTTGCATAATGTGTATCAATGAGTGTGATCACTGTTACACAAATGAGAAAAGAATGACCAATATTGACAAATACCTATTGGCTCGTTTTCTTCAGTAATGGTGTTGCCTGCAGTACTGATGACCTCATGCTCCTCCTCAGCATTCACTAGCTCTTGGAGCACTGCCTCCACGATTGGCATCACCATGGCTGTGGTGGATGTGTTGGAAAGCCACATGGAGAGCACCGTGGTGCAACACATAAAGCAAAGAAGCAACCTGGAGTACAACACAGGGAAATCTCTTTGAGGCACTTTCAGAAATATTAAAGGTCTCCTTGCCTAACATTTTCATTAATAAACTGATAACAACATGAGGTCTATTTCTTTTTGTGGGTTCCAAAATATCATGCTGGGCACAGATAAAACACTGACAATATATCATTGGAAGCTGTTTGCTGCCCCAGGTGAAAATCAGCATGTGATGTGACAAACAGTGATTTCAGCATATACAGGATTTAAGCATCCTTTTGTGTTTACTAAACAACAGGCAAAGAAGGAACAGAGAGACTAATATCAGTATGAGTAAAAAAGCAAAGGGACAAGAAGCCAAGGAATGGGAAGTGGCAGAAAGAGGATGAGAAAATTTTTAAGCTTTCAAACTCTGAAAGGAAAGGTGGGTAGGAAGAAGAGCACCAAACCAAGGTAGATTTTGCCCAGGGATGGGACAGTCAAAGTTGTTATTTGCTGTTTCAAGCTGCTGCTGTCAATCTCAAATTACTCTGAAGTCAAAGGCTCACTCACATGCCTGGCTTTGCCCCAGCCATCATGACCATGCGCAGGGCGATTCGTTTGTGGAGATTCCACTTTTCTACAGAAGCTGCCACACAAATAACACCCATGAGGAGCAAAGTGGTGTTCTTGAAATATTCAGCAGCCACCTGTATTAAGGGCATGGGGGAAACAGTCAGTTAAAAAAGCAGTAAATAACCTACAAAGATAACATGCTGAATGAGAGGAAAAATAGTCTTGTAGATTTTTTTCCCCTAGAGAAAGATTGACAGGAAGCTGGAGAAAATGAGGAATTCATAAGTTAAAATGTTCTTTTTAATCCTTTCATGTTGTGTTTACAAATAACAAGGCTCTATGCCCACTTGTAAGTAGGTTTCTCAGCTTTGAGGAGATCAAGAGAAATGTTACTTCGAGTTCACTGTTCCCTGCCTGCAGTTAATCATACTCAGCTAGGTCCAGACTGAAACAGTCACAGACAAACCTCTGTACTGAAGGCAGCTAATTCGTGTGCTTCATCTGCTTTTTCATTCTAGAGAAGTTGTTGTCTATGTCGTTTGTATTTCTTACATCTTGTACAACAGTTGGGCAGAACGTGGCATCCCTAGAACTTACAGTTTCAGAAAAAAAGTGCTTTGGGACATGCTCTCTGAATGCAATAAAGAAAGGTTGGGATATTGCTGTGGTGATCCACAAACCCTGTGCCAGAACTTTTCACAATGGAAAGCCATCTCCGTTGTATCAGGAAAATAGGGCAAAGTTTCAAAAAAGAGAACTTTAAATGAGCAAAGATCATCAGTTGTCTCAGGAAAAAAAAATCAGGGACCATGTATGGTCCTATAAAGCAGCATTCCTGAATGTGGGGCTTGCTAAGATACAAGAAAATGTTCTGTGAAGTGATTGCAAAAAATAACAAATGAAGCAAACCGAAACATTCACACATTCTCTCTTGTGTGACAGCAAACAAAATGGGAGAAAATAAGTTACAAACAGATGCTTAGAGTTCAGCTAAAATTTTCATTTAATTCTGCTGAAATTTTTCCCAAGCTGTCGCTGGAATATTTTTCAAAAAACCATTGTTTCTTCAGTTTAAAACTATTCCTCTAACCAAATGTAGGTGCCAGCATTTTAAAACAATTAAAAAATTAAAATCAGTACAAGCAGTGTTTTTTCTGTTGTCCTCAGTTATACTAACACTCCTCCATAAAAGTGCAAGAATGACACTTAATGTTATTTTGTGAGAGCTGCAGCAAGTTAAGTATTTAATTATACGTATTTAACAAATCCCAGTGGTGACCTAAATAGACTTGGCCATCACAGCTGTGTGCCAGAACTTTTTTTGGCTTTCTTCCACTGGTTTCTTTCTCATTAACTTACTTTATTTTCCTGCTACTTTGTTAAAAAAAAAAAAAAAAAAATCCATCAATCCAGCAGCACAAAGAATCTGTTGTTTTCCTTTATTCTTTTCACAGTCATTTTGAAGAACCAAGTGAATACTAATATTCTTATTAATACACATGTACACATATACAACACACTAGCTCATGTTCTTAAGCCCCTGTGACTTATTTGTAGCTTAAACCACTAGGCAAGAGCCCTGGGTTTCTTTAGCATTCCAGAACAGCAGACTGGAAATACTGCAGAATCATCACAGTTGTTTATTTTAAAATACAGGGGTTTGTTACTGTTCTTAAAGCAAATAATATATTCTCTGCAGTAATTTCACTGTCACTTAATCTGATGTTACACTGAATTTCTGTCAGGCTGCCCTTAGATTTTCCTTCTCCAATATACTGCAGAATTTCATAATGAAAATGCATAACTACTTTATGTTAGGAAAAAAAATCCTGAAAATATTTAACTGTGTCAGTATGGAAATGTATCTGATTATATTACATAGTTATACCACTGGGAGGACTAAAACAGGTCACAAAACTCTTGGTTCATGCTTGGCTCCATCCATTTGTGGGTATACCCAGTGCTAGATTGTGCTAGAAATTCAACAATTTTATGGTTGCTATATATTTTTTTGTGTTCTTATCTGTATTTCTAGTCCTTGTAAATCAAGTGTGATGCCCCCCTCACCCTCAAAAATAAGAGGAAAAAAACAGGGGAAAAAAAGCTGTAGATGAAATAAAATAGATCCTGGACATATCACGAAAGAATGTAACATTCAAAAAAAACTCAAGTAAGCAAATTCAGAACTGATCATAGAAAATTTTTTGTACAACTACTCCTTTGCCTTAGAACTCATGGCTACAAGGCAACACTAAGGTTACAGCTTGGAAAAAGGACTAGATATATACCTGGATAACAAAATTATCTAGTCTTACACAGTAAATAGTAACTGGTTTTAGAATATGTAGCCTCTTCCCTTACACATCATCTATAATAGATATAATTGGAAGAAAACTTTACAGTTTATCCCATAACTGCTTTTTACATGGTTTTGGAGGAGGGAAAGGATGAGATCCTTTGATGCATAGGTTTGGGGCATTATCAGTGGTGCAGTAGCTAACAGGATGAACAGCCCTTTTTGAAAATATAGCCTTTCCTATATCTGTCTTCAGTGGAAGAAGGAGCTGGTTGGCCCAAGTTACACATTACAAGATGTACATTTCTTCCTCCCATACCTCTTAGTCTTGCTAGTCCACTAAGATTAGTTTTATTCAAATAATTCACTGAGATAAAGAATATTAAATGATAAAAATGTGCACGCTGGTCTGACCTCACTGGACTTCATGACTCCAAAAAGTGGGTATAGGAAAGCAGGGACTAAGGCTGCTGCACCAAGAGGTACCGCTTCAGAAACCCAATATACAGCCGTTACGGTCAGCACGTAGGCACATGAGGCTTCCTGTAGGGAGAAAGCACAGAGGTTATGTGTTACTGCCCCATCCCCTTCTTTGGAAACCTTGTGAACACATTCATAGGACTCATCAGACTGCAGGTGCCTGGACTTATAAAACTCAACAAGGACTGCGTAAGGACCCCTAAAATGCAGCTGTTTGGGTGTGAAATCTAGGTTACCACCTGAAAGGCCAGTTCCAGCAGATGATGCAGATGAAAGGTTTTGCACATAGGCTAGGGCAAAGCATTGGGATAAACATATTTATCAGCAAAATAACAGTTCCAAGTGTATTTACAATTTTGTTTGATTTCCATAATCTAATATTTAACAAGTGTTCAAGCATGACTCCTCAGATTGGTCCTGTGGAGCTAGTATATCTACATGCCTTTCTCTCCAATATTGGACAAGAACAGGAACCCAGAGTTTTCAGAATCAGATGAGAAAGTTCACATCTGCCACAGACCCTTGGAAGAAGACCACAGACATAAAAGGCTTAGAGGCAATGGGTTAAAAGAGTTAATCAAACACATTTGCTGCTGTCCAAGGTTCAGGGAGAGAGAGTCACGACAACACTGTGACGAGCATTCACAGAGAACTGGTGTATGATGAAGAAAGGTACTACCTGCTGAATATTTTTACAAGAAATACAGCTAGTCCACCAAAGTCTTCTGGTCCATTTTTTAGATAGGTATGTCTTTATTTATGGCATTCAGTGGAGTTCTTGTTGGCGTCAGTTTGTTATGCTTAGAAACCTGGGGATATTTCCTGCTAATAATTACAGAAATTACCCTCAGGAAATTGTTTTTCCTTCCCTTTCCCAAATTTAAAGCTAGGTCCTGTACTGGGTCTAACTGGCAATTCTGTGGAAGCTAGTCAGTGTGCACATATTTAGAGCATCTATAAATCTACCTGTTCATTATTCACTAGATGTTCCATATAAATTTATTGAGCCATATGGATTCATAGCTTACAATGGCTTTTGTTTAGAAAATTCACTGTTCACAAATTGTATTCGAGTGTGTTAAAATAAAAATTCATTACTTTTGTTTCTTGACTGGATGACTTCCAAATTAAGTGGCTTTCAAGAAGTCACACAAGCAATTCCCACAGATTCTTATGTAATCACGAGTGTGTATTACACTTCATTATTTTTATCATCAGTTTTGTGAACAGGGTCTAAAGTAAGACTGTACAGGGATGTGGGTTCAATGGAATGAATCAATAGGCTGTATTTAAATTCACATTTATACATGTCCTTTCTACATTACCTCTAACAAAAAGCCACAATCAGCTGTTCCTCATTTTTAGTACAGCTTATAGTAATAAGAGACAGAACACAGCCCAGCGAAAAAGTTAAGATAGATTGCTATGTGCAATTTCCTTTACTTGCTTAAAAATTGCAGACAAGCTTACTCAGAAGCTTGGCTTTAAATTAGCTGCCAGACCTTGCTCTGACTCCTATTTCAGAAAAGTGTAACATTAAACAGTTCTGATTCAGATAAGCAGTTCCACCAAAATAACTGAAATAAAGCTACCAGGAAAAATAATTTCCTTGAATCAGATGAACTCAAATTACTTTAGAGACTATAAAAAAAAAAGCTATTGGAGAAATTTAGCTCTGGATTGTTCCTGTATGGATCAACAAGTACTCTGAACCACACAGAAATGTGCATATTTGTTTCTCTCCCTTAAATATTATAGAAGAGTGGTTTAGGTTTTAAGCTCTTCAGTACAGGTTTTACTAGTCCTCTGTGATCAGGTCCTTCAGCAACATATTACAATAAAAGATTGTATTGGAGTTGTAGCTTCGTTGCTACAAAGAAGAAATTGTAAGAGGCTAGAGAAGGTTGGCTTAGAATGAATGAGATCAGAGGGGGGGGGTTTAATATTAATGGATTATGAAATATGCATTTCAGAAAATGGAATTGCTACGCTGTTTGAAACTCCAAAGACTGGTGTTCAGTTGGTGACAACTTCAAGTGATTACTCAGTAAAAAAACGAACAAATAATTTTGACTTAAAAATGGAAATAATTTAAAAAGTGAGACAATATGCATTAAAGATTTTTAGCCCTCTCTACTAGGAAGACAAAATGTTTTAGGATGAGAGTCACGGAGCTGATGGACTGGCTCATGATCATTAGCCAAATTGCTGCTCAGTTGCCTTTAACTACATTACACTTCATGGTTAGTATTCCACAGAGAGGAGAGCAAAGGGCCATTTTTGTGACCTAGTGACTGACACATTTTTTATTTTTTAACTCATTAGTTTCTGCTAAAAACCTACTATGTTTGCATGGGGTCTGTATGACACCCAGCAGTTGTCTGAGAAGAATAATGCTTTTTAATGAAAAAATATTGATTTTTATTTTAAAGCAGTGCAGATAAAAGATCCAAGAGATATGTTTTGACAAAGTAATAAAATTCATTTCATCCTTACCTTATTCCAAACTATTTTCTTACTCCAAAAATATCCTTTTTTTAAATTTCTTTGAGCATAGATTGTTATATTCTATTGCTCCTCTGTGTGTAGGAATAAAGTAGACAGTGGAAATGCAATAGGATAAAGGGAAGTTGCATCTCTATCAAAACCTATCTGGGATAGGCACTGAGTCTTTCTGTTTCCTATGCACTAGGCTGTAATCGGTTTACAAACAAAAACTAAAATAGAGCACATTTTTAAATGGTATAAAACTGGGTAGCAAGTACTAGGAAAGCCAAGTTTGATAATCTCCACTAAAAATCAGCTTGTCTAGCAACTTTCTTTCTTTCTTTTCTCAGTGCTTTAGACCAGCTCATTTCCAAGAGAAATCATCTTAATCTCTTCTATTTAATCAATCTGAATTTACATATTTAATGGTCACCAGAGCTACTAAGTACCGGACTGAAGTAATGGCTGTATAATTTTAACTTATTTCACCCTTCTCAACTTCTTGTTGTACAGACAAAAAAATTACTGTTTAACCCACTTCAGGGCTTGAAGCAGGGAATAGGAAAACATGTGACGGTTGGAGAGACTACAACCTGTCTTCAGTCAGTCCCTTAGGGGAAAAGAAATGAGAAACTGAAAGGAAGCCATGGCTAAAATTTCCACAATAAGGGCCATGCATAAAATTTTTATAACTAAAACATCTGAGGATCTCAGAGTGATTACAAAGAAGGAAAAATTCTTTGTTGGAGACTTGTCCACTTAAGGATGTGCACTGTGTATTTTGCATGCAGGCACATGAGTAATCTGTGCAGAGAAGAGGTAGTCTATCCTCTGTACTACCATCTTTGAGGTGATGGGATCAGACTATAATTCCCTCCCTTCAGCTTGTGTAAATAAATACAAAGGTGAATGAAATTACGCTACCTGTGGCTGTTCAGAGTGTGTTCTGTGCTTTAGGGTTCATTCTGCTGATTTGGTATGTCAAGGTGACAACATCACTTGATGCTACAGGTCTCACAATGTACAGCAACCCTTGCTGACTTTTGAGGAGTCATCCACATGTCCTTGATAGGGTTTGGTGTGGCCACAGGATCAGCAGTTATAGGAGATCCTGCCCATGGCTGACCAAATTCATGTGGTATGCTTTATGGTATCACTGGTGGCTTTATGAAAAAAGTTGGATAAAGATGAAAAAAAAAAAAAAGATGGAAAAATGATCCCATGTCACTGTTAACAATGAGGGAAATAAGGATAGAATGAAAACCACAGATTGTAAAGCACACAATGTTTCTTTCTGTATGTGTCATGACCTGGAAGGCACTCATCCATGTCCCGAACTTGCTCTACAATTCGTAGGTCAGATATAAACTTTGGAGAGGGAAGAAGAATTCAAGCAAGTTTTCTCAAGTTTATTTTTTATCCAACTGCATGTTGTCACAAAATAATAGAAAATAAACTGTGGACATTATTCCCATTAGCTGTATCTACAAACAGTTCTGAGTCCTCACGATCCCTTTAATTGCTTTTGCCACTATACATGTAATACTCCTTTGACATTTACAGAGCTGTGATGATATCATCAAAGAAGCTGCAAGCTGATTCCTTGTAGAAATGCAAATGTAAACCAACTGGCAAGACTAATCTCTATAAGAAAGACAGAAAACTAATATAATTTTCTGATAAATTAAAATATAAGTAAGTCAGCAGGCTACAAATTTAATCTTCAAGTTTAAGAAATAGTCATAGTCAATGGGTTGTAACAAAATAAATACTACACTCAACCACTTCAATAGTGTGTTGTCAACTGAGTTTATTTGGTGTAGATGTTTTCTTAACATCATTACAAACATTTGTCCAACTGAATCAGATTCACAGCTATACTTTAGCATCTGTGGTCATTCATGTATATATAAGATGGATGTAAAACATCTGATGGTTTTTCTTATCGCTTTGCAGTAAAGCAATGCCATGAGGTGCATAGTAATAGCACAGAGGAGCTTGTACTGTATAATAGTAATTCTTGCAACAATACTGTCAGTGAGCTTCTGTTTCAGCACCCATAGGACGCTATTACAATTCCCTTGGTTATTGAAGAGTTTCCTTGTTGCATCCTGTGCCTCTGAATCCAGTAGAGAGCAAACATGAATGACAAATTTTAGTGAAATGAATCTAATGTTTCCTAGGAGAGATTCTCAAGGGACATGGAGCATGATGCAGTTACAGTGCCATATGGGCATGCCAGGAAGTATTTGTTCTTTATGTCACCCTTCCAGTGACATTGGGGGAGATTAAACACTCTTTTAAAACAAGCCTCTGTGAAATGGTGAGCCCCACTGTTCTCTGAAGAAATGCATGATTGTCTATCATTCATTTCCTCTCTCTCAAAGAGATGGAAAACTGCTATAAGAGGACAGCCGAGATGATATACATTGAAATTCAGAGAAGAAAATCTCATTCAAAGTGCAACATACAGTTCAGTGGTGTAGGAACATTTCCTCTCTATGAGTCCTGTTTTTCTTTCCGAACAAAATACTACAGTTTTACTTTTGAAAACAGCTATACAATTTCTAATCCTTTGCATTTCTACTTGATAAAGTAGTAGCATTCATAAATCCTCTGGTACTAGAAGGAAGAATTAATCTTTAGCAGGGTAGAGGAAGGAATGGAAAATGCTGCACGATTTGGCCAGGGTTATCTCTAGAACTATGGAAGCACCAGCTGTAGAATTTTTAATGCGTTGCAAATTTTGATAAGTTAAACATCATCTCTGTAAGGTAGGAAAACATTGTTATTCTATAATTTACAACTGCAGAGGTGTGCATAAAGGAAAGCTAACCACATGGCCAAGGTTATTCAGTAGCTCCAAAACTGTCAGGAATGCAGCTGCATTCACTACCATTCCCTTCTTTGTACTGTTGTGTACGTCTCTGAGCCATAATTTATTAGCCACTGTCAGAGCTGCAGTGTTTCAGTAGAGGTACCTACACCTGCTTCAGAGTAGTTAATGCCATGTATGGTGCTACATGTCTGTCACTGAATCCTAGTTCCTGACTCACTCGGATTGCTACCCTGTAAACCCACACTAAATTGACAGTCCCTCCATGCATACTTATTACTAAAAACTAATTACACTAAATGTATTCCTTTTAAGGACCCCTCCAAATTTTATGGATATGTTTATTCTGTTCCCCCCTCCATACACACATTATTGTAGAAAAAGAAGAGATACAACATTCCTGCTTTAAAGTAGTGCTTTATTAGATTGACATGGTTCTTCAGCTCTGCTTGTGACATGACTCAGGGTAGCTCTGGTTCTTACTGTGATGACTTCTCAGTCCTTCAAATTTGAGTCCTTGATTTTTCTAAGAACTATGCTTCTTTAGATACTTGCCTTTCTTTTTGCACACTGCAGACTTATCCAACATGACTACCTACTGCACTCAGAGGATTTGATAAAAAGAAAATGAAAATGTACTTACACTGCTGGGGTATAAGAGTGGCAGAGGAAGCAACAACAGTGGAATGAGAACAACAAGCAAGAGGTTTCTGGATTGGAGAAACTCCTTCATCATTGCCATACTCTTTTATTTTCTGGTGGCTTTCTTCTCCTTGGGTTTCTTCTCCGGTTCCTCAGATATTCCCACTTCACTTTTTCCTTCACCTGTGTCTGGATTTCCACAAAACGTCTCTCACTGCCTCATTTCTATCCCTAACCAGTTACCTAAAATAGCTTTCTTAATCTCGTTATTCTTCAATCTGTTGTTTTGAAAAGTTTTTCAATTAAAAAGACATTCAGTTTATGTAGGGCTCACCAGCACATCCAAATTATTATCACACCATAACATGTAGAGATTTGTAAATTGGAGCATAGTGATCTTTTGACAATTTTCCTTTTAAATTCAGAAACACAGGTGTAGCTGTGCTGCATCCTCATCCCCAAGTTTTGGAAAGTTTTCTTTCATCATCTAGCAATATAATTCCCGTTTTCATAAACTAGAAGAGATATGTTTCAGGATGTTTTTCTTCCGGTTTGGTAGTCTGAATGTCTCAAATACAGGTTTCTTTTCTGTGGAAAAATTATTAAACTCAACAATTTATTGTTCGCTGTACAGAAGAGAATTTGAAGGTATTCCTTCTTAATAAAAATTAAAAGAAAAAGAAAAATAAACTCATCTGCAGCTCCACCAGATTTTGTCTCCTTGCTCTAGATTTGGCTTCTACTTTGTATCTACCTTTACCCTACTTTTGCCCTGAGCCTGGAATTCACAGGGCAGCAATTCCAACACAGATTATACTTGGTCTCAAGATAAAAACTTATTAAAAAGCTTCATGCAACCCTAATTCTCCAATAAGGACTGCAGAAGGTAGTAGTTGTTCCACCCATTATCCAAAACCCATTTGAACATTTGAGAAAAACAGCAGCCTCCTCTTTCTGACATACACACAAATGTACAAAAGACCTTTTTGAAGTTGCTGAACAGTTGGTTTTTGTTTCAAGGTCCCAATACTGATGATAAATAAATAATCCTTTTCTAAACAGTATCTTTTGCCTTTTGTGGTTCTTCCATCCTGATCCATGAACATCACTTATTTATAAGGCATGGGCTGATCTCTGTACTGATTCACGTGCCCTCGGTAACCATAGGATTCAGACTCAAGTTGAGAATTTTTAGGCTTTCTACTCTAGTCTTCTAGTGGAGAAACATTTCTGCAACTCTGCCATTATTAATGCTTTTTGTGGGGCATAAATTACTGGAGGTTTAGGACTTAATCTACTGTCTGGATGCATGCATGACCTGTAGATGGACATCAATTTGTCCTGTATCTCATAGGAAACCACACACCTAGGATTTTCCATCCTCCTAAACCTTGACTGCATATTGACTCCCCACCCTCTGCTAGTCAGACACATACTGAGCTCCCCAGCCTGAGCTGTGATGCTCCTGTGACACACTCCTGGAGAACTGGCAAAGGCAAACCTGCAGACTTTGATGTGCAGGATGAATTCTTCCTGAAATTAGTAATTGTATTAAGACCGTAACATTTGTATACCTTGCAACTTCCATCGAGCAACAGAACCTTGAGATCCTTCAGGCAAATTTGACAATTGGTTCTGGATGCAAAAATGTGAAGATTTTGGGTTGGCCAATACAGGCCAGGAATTTATATCTGTTTCATCAGTTGTTTCAGAGAAACTAAAAGAATGTCTAAAATACTAAAAACAATTTAAAATATTCTGTAATAAATCTATTCTTCTTTCACTTTTTTACAATCTGTAAGGTCAAAGGGTGGGTGGGTAAATGTTGCCATGTAGAAGCAATGGCTCTTTACCCCGTGAGAGAAGGGCTACTTATAAACATGACTCAGTCTGAAGTGATCACATGCAAACTGAGCTAGGGGGAAGCTTGTCCTAAGCCGAAAGAGCTGCCCTGAGGCAGAGTGCTCCTTCCCACTTGAACTCTTGTTTCTATTTATTACCTACAGCTGCCCGTCAGAGGGAAGAGCTGTTCCCTCTTCTCTCCTTTATGGTTTCTCCCATGAAGACTTTTGCAGTCTGCAAGTTGCTAAATAGTAAATCTGCTGCTGAAATCAATACAATGCAAAACCAATTATCTTATGTAGCATATTTTTATTATTACATTGATAGTCTCTGTTAAATTAACCTGGGCAATACAAGCACATTCCTAAGGAATAAAACTTTTTCCTACACTACACACAGTAATGGGAGGAAGGAAACAAACTCAGAAAAACTTTATTTTCTGTTGAGGAGATAATGGTTTCAATTACCATTTTGTAAGGTACAATAAGGTATGTATGCCACAGGAAATCATTGGATATTCAAAATTATCTGTGATTCTTTTCTACGGCATACTTACTGATGCATAAATCCTGACTGCTGGACAGTCCTGTTGTGGGATGAAGATAGTGGCTGAGAGGTATTTCTCTGAATGATGACTGCTAGCAATTAATCTTGCTGCAGTGCTCTTTCTTGTTTATCTTTGCAGACTTTGAGTCACTGGCTGTAAGGAATTTATGAATTGCCCTAGTTCCAGGATCTTCCGGCAAGTGGTGCTTCAGGAAGCCAAGAAGCAGAGATGGAAAGGCAGGAGTGCACTCATGGCGTTTCCCCTCCATGTGTTTATAAATCATGGTGTGGGAAGAAAACACAAACAGATCATCACTGTTAATGCTGAAGGCTTAAAGAGCATGTGGCAAGGCTGCTTTGTGGGCACTGAGCTGTGTGTGTGAGTAGTGGAGACAGAGGTACTTGTGACTCATAGCTTTGTGGGTGAGGTTTTCAGGTTCCTTTGCCATATGCCAGCCAGGCTTTGAAGATTGCCAACAAAGATCTTCAGGTATAAAAGTGTACCCACACGTACGTGCATCTAAAGGCAAACATGTGCACTCATGCATACACATAAAGAAACTGCTGGGAGAAACAGGACTGACTGTCTATTATAAGCCCTTTGTCCAGCTGCTTAGGCCATTGCCAGCCTGCCCCTAAATCTGCTGTGGTTCCACATTCCCACGGGTGACTGCCAAACCCAGTGTGCTCTGACTGACTGCACTATTTGCTGTTTGCTGCAACAAGGTGGTGCTGGATGGAATTTTTCAGCATTTTTCGGAGTATCCCTGTTAAGGCACAGAAGAGTTCATTCTTTTTGCTCAAGTAATGCAAAAGCGGTTAAACGTGATTCAGAACTGGGGCTGGAATCCTCAATTCTCTTTTATAGTCTCAGGGATTTGTGCTTTGGGCCTGTCTCCTTAAGATATTATGCAAATAGAAAGTGCTGGTGTGAAAGGATGAAAAATATGTTCAGCTGTTTTCCTACGCTCTGGAAGTAGAAGCACCTCTAATATCAATAGAGAAAGAGAGTTCATATAACTTGTTTACAGAAATTAGGGGATTTGCTTTAGAACAGTTTGGATTTGTCATTGCTAGTCATCTGCCTGACAAGATATACCTCCTTTTTTGTTCATTTTCTGTCCATGTCTCTTTTGCAGTTTATAATAATAAGTTGCACTATTTCTACAAAAATTTTTGCTGTAAACAAGTACTACTTTTCCACTGCTCCAAAATTCATAATTCCCACCACTAGACTGGTGAATGACCTTTTCTGCTAAGTGGTCAGATACAACTGTTCCCTGATTGAACAGTTTGGGATTCTTCCAGGTACTCAGCACTTACGTGCACACACATGCATGAACATACACACACATATATACAGTGAATATAGTATTTACCTTTAAAAATGAGTGACACTGCTAAATTCAGCACCAGGTATGTTTTAATGCACCTTCCTCCCTTGCCTCAGGGGGATTCTGAAGAATGGGTTTAGATGACTTATGTTCAAGTGATAGAATCAGGAAAAATGTGTCACTGTTAAACTAAACAGGGCCTTTGTTTTGCCTTTGCCTCCGCTGAGGACAAATACATGTTGTCTTCAAAAAACAAGGAGCAAAAGCAAATTCATGTGCAAATAATGAAAGAATCATTGCAGACTGTTGGGGAGGGTGGCTCCAGGAAGCAGGGAATATGCGCACAGGCATTGTTTGCTGCTGGTGTTCACAATGCCCTTCAACTTCTGCAAATGTTATTTCAATTAAAAACTGGTTCAGTCAAATGAAGTGAATCAGACAGTGCTTATTTACAAAAGTATTTGGAATGAATAATATGTGGCATGATTTCTGAAGGCTGACAGTTATGAAACCTCTTTCTTTTATAGAGGGCCTTTGCATCTTTTTATAATATCCTTTTACTGGCAAGCCAAAATATGACCTTTTTTTCCCCAGCTAGGAAAGCAGCATTCTCCAGCACATACACAATAAACATGTGAGCATAAGCATAGTATACTTATGTATTGCTTATACAGAAAACCCACAAGGTGAAACAAAAACATGTCTGTCTGGGGTGTACACCAGAATCCCTTCTTTGCCTGTCACAGAATGTGCCTCCAAGGCAGCATAAAAATCAGATTCCCAGGACTGAACATTTTTCCGCATTTTACATGGAACTATAAAGTGGATTCCACAAGAGGGAGCTAGAAAACAAATAATCTTTCATGAAGCAGGCTATTAAACTCTTTACATAATAAAGTGGTGGACGTGCTACATGTGTCCCGTATCAACCAGAAAAGGTGGCTGAGTTGCCATTGCATCAAGTCTCCCACTGTGATGGCTCTTTGTTGTGTGGGAACATCAAGTCGTGCTTCAGGGCTTTGTAAAGATTGACAAAGGATTTAGCCCAAACGTCTTTCTGGTGCCCCTGGGACTGAGCAGCCCTGTAGGCCGTGTAGACCATAGTCAGCACTGTCCTTTCAAAGTCTTCTTTCTTGAGCACCCTTGGGTAGGAAGACAGCCTGCTACTAAGCCTGTGGATCTCTGTGATGCTCTTGGGAATAACTTCATTGCAGATGGTGTCAAACTCAGCAGCCTTCCTGAGTGAAGCGAGCTCCTCATCTTTGATGGAGATCCTCTGGCCTTTATCAATGTCAAGCTCAGCTAAAAGAAACTGGTACAAAATCAGAACACAGAAAGCTATTTATCTTCTCCAAGAGATTCTAGGTAGAGTAAATGTGAATTAAAAACCTGTCCCTAGGTCATTACTTCAGGTCAAACGGAAAAAAATCTCTCATTGCACTGGCTGGAGATGGGGCAGACCAGAAGGTCTCTGTATGAACATTGGAATCCTGTGTTACCTACCAGGGGAAATTAGAGAAAGTGGGTAGTCTTCTGTTGTCCAAAACAGGCATGGGTTGCTGCTGGTGCCACATGGGGATTAGAGAGATGGAGGCAGCACACAGTTGGGAAAGGTCATTTACCTTACCAGGGATAGCAGTGGCTTTCCATCCCATCTCCACTGTTTGACATCCAATCTCAGTTTCTCAAGTAGTGGGATAGATAGGTTTGACTTCAGGTGGGCCACTTTGCCTTAGCTAACCATATGACATTGTTCCAGACTGTGCATTACATTTGCACTGTTGTGAAAGAGGGAACCGGAATCATTTTGAAGAGAAACAGTCATGCCTTTGGGATTACTTTGAAATGACTGATACTCATGGCTTTAATGATTTGAACAAATAAGTTGGGACTGAGACTTAGACCAAAGAATTTAAATGCATTGTGTTGTTAATACCTAACTGTTCTGGAAGACAGCTGCTTTCAGTGGAAAGGCATTTGCTCTGGTTTTCACTTTGCCTGTCAGTGAGCTAGAACCCACATTTAAGGTACTGTGGGCAACTTGCTGCCTGCTTAAGTGCTGAAAGAGACAATTTTGTCATAATTATGTCTGTCCCCTCCCTTCTGGTGAGCTATTACATAGTCAGCAATGGGTTTACTGCTGGAATGAGTAAAAGTGACATAAAGACAGATAATGGATAGCCCCAGTATGGACACTAGCCCCAGTCTTGGTTAGGGCTTAAGGTACCATCTGCTCCCATATACTGAACCTCATAAAGCAGGACCACATCTTCCAGCGAGTTTTGTAGCACTGGGCTAAGGAAGGCAGCTGACGTCCTCTTGACTCGCTGAGCAGCTGGGAAAAGCATAGCTGGAAAATAATAAAGGGAAAAGAGATATTCCATGGGGTGGCAAACACTGAAGAAAGGAAGCACTTTTCAAAAGTAGATTCAACCAAAGGACTACCTTTTGTGAAGACTTACTGTACAGTATGACTTCTTACTGTAAATAAAATGGACTGCATGGACTTCTTTGACTATAATCTACTAGGGATGAGGGTTAGCTGTTTGCCCTGTATCTATACAGTGTCTAAGACAGAGTGGTTTATAATCCAACCCTGGGACTCTGAGGTGTAGCCATGGGGTAAGGAATAATAATAGTAACTGCAACATCAACAATGCCTGAAATACTTGTTCTTCTTCTGGTTCTGCAGTATTGACCCTCAGCAATGCCTACTTTCCTCAGGCTATTCTAATACTGTCACACTTCTAAGACACTACATTTCTCCTGGTTTCAGATGTCTAAAGGTTGATCTCTCCTTAGGTGATAGAGACAACTCCTCCAGAGAGCAGATCACCTCATCTGTCCTTGGCATATATATCTCTGGAAGAAGTGACTCACCCTTCGCCAATGTCTGTTCATTGAGCCTGTTACCAGCTTAGAGAAGACAGCTACATTCAATGAGGTAGATCTCAATTTATTATGACTTTAATACTTCACAGTATTATAGCTAGATAAGTCTGATATGATCAGGTATTTATCCACCACTGAGAAGTGTAATACAGATATTGTCATAGGGAAATGAGACAGAAAAAGTATGTATCTCCCCTGAACTCAGCCCCCCAGTGAGGTAGAGCAATTGTGGAAATAATGACCTGTACAGTCTGGAGTATAGAAAACATCTGATGTTACATTACAGACCACCTAAATGCTTTGAGTTACTAACTAGATTACTAACCAGGTAACTAGGTACTATTAAAAGGTGAAAGTTCCTTTCAGAGCAGAGGGAAAATATTGTGCTTTGTTTAATGCTGTATATGTGATTTAGATGTTGATGTTTAGGTAGCCATAGTTTGGATTTGTTGGATTTTTTTCTAATACTCAGTAACAGGAAGTTTATTTCAAGCTGGTTTTATGTGACTATTGGTACATTTCATAAACTTCATTTCTCAAATTTAACTGCTGTGCACCAATAGATAAATTTGGAAACCAGTTTAAAATAAATGGAAAAACACCTTTTGAAAGGCATTATGATTCCCCACTCAAAACTTAAGAGTTTTACAATTATGAGTAACATTTAGTAGTACATGCAACTTTGAATTTCTGAAAAGTTTCACCCTACCATCTCTCCAAAATATTTTTTTCCACAAAATATTTTTAATAGATTAATTTTGCCTTGTTTTGCCAAAGTTCTTGTGATGGATTTTGCATGCTGCCTGTAGAAAACATGAACATCATTTAAAGCTCTCTCTTCTAGGCCTGTAAAAAAAAGCTGGAGCAACTGCAGTCGTTTTATGGAAAAGTTGTCCCTGGTCCCCAACTACATGGTTCCTCAGACAATTTGCTTCTTTGATTACCCAAGCAGATCACAAATACGCAGTTCCTTTTAGACTCTGTAGCATAAATGCAGTCCTGCTTCCTGGGCCACTGCCAACTGTTGACTTTGTTGAAGTTTGACTTGTTAATGATCTGTAAGTTCTAGTAATGCAAGGTAAAAGAAAGCAGGCCCTCAGACATTGTGCTAATTAGGACCTTTACTATCTAGCACAAGGAAAATTTATTGGGATAATACTAGGTATGAAGTAATTCATGCGTGACCCAGCAAAGGGTAATTTGGCCTTGAATTAACTGGGGAATATAGTATAGGTAAAATAGTTTGTTGAATTGCAATGAACATACGGCAGCTGGATACTATTAACTGTAAATGCATCCTACAGGGAATTTTGGGGGCATTTTGGTAAGAAACTTACAGGGCTAGGAGCTTCCTATTGGATCCATGTGAGTTTAGATTAAAACTTGTTTAAATAACTGAATAGTATTTGCAGGGTATGACTGAAACCTGAAAGGAATTAATGTACCAAGTAAAAGAACAGAGACGTTGAAAAGGGCTTGGTCTCTGCAGTAGCCTTTCCCCAGCATGATGCATTTACCACCTGACGATTTTATCTGGCCCAGCCGAGGAGGTAGTGAGTTTGGGAAAGGTCACAAGCTGTCTGTAGGTTCTGCTCAGTGAGAGTGTTTGGCTGGTCGATCACTGGCAACTGGGGCTATACCCATTTTCTGTTGTTGCTCCATCACTGATGTTCACCCATCTTGCTCAGAGCTTTGTTGAGACACAACTGGAGCTATTCCATCTTTTGCTCTTGGCAATTTGAGAATGCAACTGAGTGCATGTGCAGCACTTGAAACTTCAAGCACTAATTGCTGAATAATTAAAACTTTTATTACTGGGCAATTAAAACTCTAATTACTAAGCAGCTGGCAGAAATCCAGTCCATAATGATGACAATTCATTTTTATCTCTTTTAGATGCCCTTTCAGTGGAAAGAGCCTCAGAGTACCGAGTACCTCTGCATATGCAGATGGTTTACATCTCAGATATTTCCTGAGCCATGGATAAGGTGTTTGAGGCATCTTACTTCAGTGCTGTCATGCTTATTGTCATCACACCATTTGCTTTTAGCTTTCAGGACAAGTGCAGATTCTCGCCATAGAGCTGAGCTAGGAGTCATCAGATTCTGCGCATCACTACTCACCCAGAAAAGCCTCACTGAAGAACTTGCACAAAAATGAATGCCATATTATTGAGTTAGTACTGACCCACTTGCTGAATCACAGGTAACACCTCAGAAAGCAGCTGGGTTTTCCAGCTGTTCCCAGGATAACATGGATTAGGTTAGGAGATTCAAAGGGATAGCCTGAGCTGCTATATTGGGAGAAAGGACTTTGTACGCATATCAGGAACACACCATCCTCTGTAGGGACCAGGCTAGCACTGACTCCCTCATCTCATTATCTTGTTCCTAAAACATATCAAACTTTGTTACAGTTCTTAGAGACTCTACTCAAACTCTTTCAGAGCTCATTTGTATTTGTCATGGTGATCTGATTTTCCTGATTCACATTTTATTTCAATCCTTCCCTTTCTTTCTCTTCCTGCACAGTAGTGAAATCCTTCTACCATTACTCCCTTCACAGTACTTTCCATGAATTCACAAGTTCCTCTGAGACTGTGTGAGCATTTAGAGCAAGTACTCTCTGATTTTCATGACACTGACTTAACACACACGTAATTTAAGCCTAAAAGATGAGACACAGAAAGATTTGCAGACAGTTTCTGCATTTAGTGTTTGCAAATTACTTTTCTGCTGACTTTACTTCTTCCTGCATTTACTTACATTTTTGACATGAGTTAGCTGGGCAGTAAAAATGAACAGCAGAGGACTATTACTGACTTACCATCTCTTTACTATTTTCTTTCCCAAGGGAGATCCCTGTAAAAGTATCAAGCAATTATTTCAAAGGAAGATGCAGAACAATGTGCATCATTTTATGTTGATATTGCAGCCAATTAATTTCAATAGCAGTAGCCATGAATATCTGAGGAGCAAAGATCCCTATTCAGTATTGACAGAGAAAGCCCAACCCAGTGATCTCTGAAGTCAGTGGAGAGACTCCTACTGAATTTTTATTTTTAATTCTTTTACAAATTTGTCAGGACATCTCCAATGGAGATATGGGTGCTTCTGTCCTAGGGACTTAAATAGTTACATAACAAAAATCTTATGATCCACAGAGATGAGGTAGGAAAAATACTGTTTTGATTATCCTTACTGAAAACATTTTCTATTATGTATCTGTGTACTACCAGGCCCATCCTCTACCAAATCTCTTCTTCAGAGGGGCCTTGGGAGTGCTCCCTGATCTGACCTCCCTCGCTGCCCACTGAGGCCTCAGGGCTGGAGGTAGATGGGAGCAGTGTGCCACAGCCACCTGCTCCCAGCCCACCTGCCTGACCCTGAATGGCCTCATCCTGTGCCCTGGAGTGCACCACTGCTTCTGCTTGAAGGTGGTGTGCAGCCAACAAGACTAGTCCTAAGGGTGGCTAAAAGTGCCCATCAAAATGTGATGCAGGAGTCCTTTTCTGCACTGCTCACTGCAGGAGTCTGTTCAGTCTCCTATAGCTCTGCTGACTCAACTCCACTTCTTAAGGACTACCTAGGTTTTTAAACAAAAGCTGCAACCGTGTTTTCCAACTTGTTGGCCTGCTTCTAACTCTTTAGCTCATGACAGCTTAGAAAGTTTAAACATAATACATCTGAGGCTGACAATAGCTTTATTTTAAAGATGCTTTCATCTTTCTTAAGAACTGTGCCAGAATTTTCTGGAACTCATTAGCCACATGACAAACATTTGTGATCCTCTCACAGGTTTTCCATGCAGTTTCACTGGTGAGGGTACAGAAGTTTAGTTTTGCTTTCCAGTTCACATTCCTGCTTATGATTTCCCAACTGCTGGCCTGTGATGTGTTTGCTCAATAAATACATAGTGTAGCTGCAGGAGTGCTCAATTATTTGTGCATCATCAATGCCCTTTTCTTCTCTTACAAAAAGGTACAAAGCCAAGAGCATGAATCAGGCCCTCTGCAGGCCATTGCTCCAAAACACATACAGCTCCCTGGGGCTCTAGAACATGAACACAGTTTAACTGGGGTCATGACTCATTAAGAATTATTTTGATTAACTTCAGGGGCATGGAAAAGGACTATATCATTGCTTCAGTACATCCCCTTTCATGAAGGATGGTAGGAGCAGAGGAATAAGAAGGACTTGTGAGCCAAAACTCCTGACTCCCTACAAGCAAAGCAAAGGAGAGTCACCTGTTGGCATAGGGAAACTCAGTGGCCCAGCTGGAGTTGCCCTATAAATCAGTCAGCAGGCTGCCCTCTGTGTACCCTGTCTTAGATTACTAGGGCCTGACTCTAAAGAAACCCGTGAAAATAATTTCTTTGGGCATCCCTGGCTTCCTGGGACCAGCCCCCTATTTCTGGGAGTGCAAGGCAGGGAGCGGTTGTACAGGCAGCAGCAGTTC